AAAGATGAAAAACAAATAAAAATAATTAACAACTGTTTGCTCTTACAACTGTTTTCTAAGAGCAATTGGTTGTAAGCGCCTAAATAAGCTAGAAAGCATAATAAGTACTAGCATCTACAAATGTAACTGATTTGCATATTCAATAGGTGTAGATTGTTAAAAATATTAGCATATGGTGTGAAATGTTCCACTGCAGTTGTATACACTGTAATACTAATTTTGAGTAAAATCAAATCTTAAAATGAAATAACATCAAAACAAAAACAAACAAAAAACATTTCATTGAATTGGTTGAACTTGAAAGTTGAATTTGATATAGTATTTTCAGTTAAAAAGAAAGAAATTGTGAATATTTCATTTTTATGCTGTAACACAAGATAAAATACTATCATTAAGTTATTCCAACTGAGACAATAATCAAATGAAAAAATTATTTGTAAAAGATACAAATCTTTAAATAAAGATTAACTCAAAGCTGAATCAATAAGAATTATGTGGAATGTAATTTATCTTTCATAGAGATCTTAACCTTTGATAGATAAATCTGTGAACATGATTTTTCATCAACGTATAATTCATCAGAATTTATCTGTGCTTGAAATAATATACAAGCATATTTGAACCTTTGGCTTGTATGAACATAAACACCAACTGGGGAGAAAAGCGTGCAAAAAGACTGATCTAGCAAGTTTATAACAAACACTCTTAATCTTGTAGTTTAATGACAAATATGTGTCTTGTCACGAAAAGCAGACTGAGGCTATTTAAGGTGGGAATATACTTATTAACTGCAATTATATCTTTGCCAGTGGACAGATTTTACCTATATTACATTATGTAATAATATAATATTATATTACCTTAACCATACTTATGTAGACTAGTGGAACTGGACTGAGTCATTTGCCGTCCCCCAGGTAGCTCAGTTGGTGCTATTAGTACATAGTACAGCACCCATCTACAGTTCAGAGTGGCCTGGAGTCGAATTCCAGTCTGGCAGTGCATTTCTCTCTCCTTTTACATTTTGTGCCCAAATAAATAGCCCCGAAGAAGGGGGTAGAGGTCAAGTCCTGTGAGTGTTCGGGGTCCATTTAGACTTCAGTGAGGAAAGAAGGAATGTAGCAGAAATGGACTGGGTTGTTCGCCGGTAACCAGGTAGCTGTTGGAGAGTCCAGGGTTTGAATACCAGTCTGACCGCGAATTTTTAATTTTCCTTTTCTGTTAGTGTTTCAGGACAGCTTACATTTATAACCTTACTGCATAGGAATGGTCTGTGTGGTTTTTATATTGAGTACAGCATCTAACACTTATGTAAATGTTCAGACAATGGGAATGGGGGTAGAGGGTGTAAAAGAACAGTATACATGCGTAGACCGATTATGAGACAGTCAGTAGCTATTTACTGCGAAATATATAACAAAAACACATAACATGCAAATTACAGGCTGTGTACAGTAGATACTATTTTTGTCTTTGACATTGACTACTTGACACACACACACACACACCCACACACAAACACACACACACACACACACACACACACAAACACACACACACCCACACACACACACACACACACACACACACAACCACACACACAAACACACACACATAACCACACAACCACACACAAGCACACACACATACACGCACACACACACACACACGCGCACACTCACAACCACACACACACACACACAAACACACACAAACGCACACAACCACACAACCACACACACACACACACACACACACACACACACACACANTCAACCACACACACAACCACACACACACACACACACACACACACACACACACACACACACACAGACAAACACACACACACACACACACACACACATAACCACACATCTCTCCCACACTTAAATGAGAATGGAAATGAGACAAGGTTTTTGCTTGAGCCATGATCTTGGACAGGTTTCACTCAACTTTTTGTATGTTTGAGTGGTTACCTTTTACATCTACTTCTATCATCACTACCAATTCAATTAGTTTGATGATCCAGTTCAAACTCAGATAAAAAAAAAAGGGGGGGGTATCTAACATTTCGTTGCCCTAATTTGGTTGAAATCCTTCAATTCTATAGAGGGGTGAATATTTACCCCTAAATATTTCCACTATTCACATGGGTTTGTTACGAATGTCTATTTACATGTATGCCATACTGATATGGGTAAAAGTACATAGTGTATGTTTACGTGTGCTGTGACCCATGTCAGTATAGCATATGTTATTTCAGACATTTGAACGAAACCCTGTGACCCATGTCTGTATAGCATAAGTGTATTTTAGACATTTGTAACGAACCCCTGTGTCCCTGGCCCTGCGCTAAGTTTTGAGGTGGTGACAACCATATTATGCTTTGACACAACACATACCTTACCTACATCTATGAATGGGGTATTTATTGATCCAAAGCCGCCTTAATTTTCTTCAACAGCTGCTCTGTATCTGTTTCCGTAAGTTGTAGATCCTGGTTCCGGTTTTAATATACCGGAGTAAAGAGGGGGCAGTTCAATTAGGTTTTTAGTGCGTTATATCAATCTTAAAAGCCTCCAAAGTAGGGGTACATACTAAATCATCTCCAGATGGTTCCACTGTATGATTGTACATACAAAAAAATGACTTCTTGTTTTGTTCACTGTTGTACAATGATCAGCTGGAGGATAATAACCACTCAACCACCTTATAAATGAATATGACCCATTGTTGTGCTCGCCTGACCTAGAGTGTTGTTAGTTCCAGGTTGTCCAGCATCCTTGTGACACACCCATCTTCCCTGGACTTATAGTCACTTGTAATGAACCTGGCTGCCATGTACTGTGTACTCTTTCCAATTTGTCAATTTCTTTTTTGGTATATGGGTCCCAAATAATGGCGCCGTATTCAGGGATAGGTCGTACGAAGGATATATATGCGGTTTTCTTACAAGACGATGAGCAATGTTTAAGATTTCTTTTTAGAAAGCCAAGGGTTGAGCTGTCTTTTCTTGGTATTTTTAGTATGGGGGTGTTCCACTTGAGATCGTCTGAAATTGTTAGTCCAAGATAGGGGTTATTTTTTACTTGATCCAGGTTATGGTGTTGATTTTTATTCCTCGTTGATAAGCCCATTTTTCCAGGTTGTTTTGGTCGCCCTATAGTAGATGGTTGTCACTATACTGGTTAATTTGTCTGTGTATTAAACAGTCGTCGGCGAACAGACGTACCCTAGAGTTCACATTTTCTGGTAGGTCATTTATATGGCACAGGAATAATAGTGACCCGGGCACAGCCCCTTGTGGTACCTCGATGTCAACGGTTACTTATCTGAATTTTTCTCTTTCTAGTGTTACTTTCATCTGTCTTTGTGTCAGTAAATTGGAGAGCCAAATGTGGAGGTTTCCTCTGACGCCGTAGTTAACCAGTTTGTGTAGTAATTTTTGGTGAGGGACCGTGTCGAAAGCCTTAGAGAAATCAAGTATTGCAAGATCAACCTGTTTGTTATTATTAAATGATTTTAGGAGATCGTCCATAATTACTGCTAGTTGGGTTTCGTAAGAAAATCCGGAACGAAATCCATGGTTTCAAGATGTTAGTATATTATGTTTTTCAATGTGGTTTAACAGGTGTTTGCAGATAATGTGCTCCAAAAGTTTACATGGTACTGTAGTTTTCTGCTGCATGTCGATCTCCTTTTTTGAGTATGCAGGGAATGTTTGCTCTGAGCAAATCTGTTGGTAGTGATATTGCAGATAATTCTGGTGAGATTTGTTGGGCACACTATTTTAGAATTCTGTTCGGGATGTCATCTTGTCCTGTGGCTTTGGGTGGGTTGACTTTTCGAAGTAAATTCGTTACCCCCTCTATACCAATGGTTATGTCTTCAATTTTTTATTTCACATTTTTTGTTGTTGGAGGAATATCGTCTGTGGCTTTGTCTTCAACAGTGAGCATAGATTTAAACTGGTTCTCTAGCATTTCTGCTTTTCCATTGCCGTTGCATGTTAAGGTCCCCTTGTTTTTAAACGGGGAGATTCCAATGTTGACCTGACGTTTAGACTTGATATATTTCCAGAATGGTTTGTTGTTTAGGTGTTTATATTCTCCAGCTCTTCTATGATGGTTTGATTTACATATTTACATTCTGCTTTCCTTATTTGGTTTTCGCATTCTTTTTGTATGCATCTGTAGTTTTCCCACCTCCTAGTTTTCCTTGCCTTGGTGTATAGTCGCTGTTTCCTTTTCATGATCGACTTTATCGAGTGGTTAATCCCTTTTTTGCTGTTTCTTCCGCTGATTTGCTTAGATGGATTAAATTTATCAATGTTACATTTCGTCAGTAGAGTACTCGGTGTGTAATCGTTCAATAATCGCCATATTGTATGTTTTGCAATAAAACGGGAGTGACTAATCAACAAACCTTACTGGTCAGGATCGAACATGGAATAGATTATTGTTATTTAGAAAAACTAGATTAGTCACTTTTCAAAAATGGCCGCCAAAAAACATTAATGACCAGATATCAGGTCGTTTGAAGTTGTTCTGTCTGCATTCAAAACAGTTAAAATTTTGAAGATATCTCGTTTGCTATTATTTTTATTATATTATATTTAATTATGTATAACATAATAGTGTAAAATACCGTGTAAGTGTATTAATGAATAGGAGGTAAAATGCCAACAAGCATAGGAAAAAAGTTATTTTCTGGATAAAAAAATCCTGTTATTTACGCCTGTCTGTTAAATCAATATAATCTGTTTATAACAAGGTGTGTTTTTCATCGCACCAGGTGATACATATTGCACTTGATTAAATACGTGTTTGGGGGCGTGTGTTCAATGGCACTGATATGTTCACAAGGAGTTGATATAAACATACGCATTAAGTTGTAAATGGGGTCTTTACACTTTGATCTGAAACAGGTTACAGCCCTACTTAGTTATAAGGAGCGGTGATATATAGTATATATTTTAAAACATTCCTATCCTTTACCATTACTAGACCTCCCTGGTTGTCTCCAATACACTAGAATCTGTCGACATGATGTCACTACGAGATGCTTTGGTGTGCGCCATGCTTATTGTCTTCGGTAAGTTATTTTCTGACGATGTCAGTCAATTTTTAGACTATCCAAAATCTTTTCAGACATTAATATTGTCGATTGATGTTTGCAATGTTATTACGCACAAACATGGAAATTAAGGTTAAATATGTTATTTTCTTCGAATAAATATGGTATTTTGTCTGTATAAGCAATGGACCGCCAAAAATTGAAATTAGCCAGTTTCAAAAACATTACCATTACATATAAACAGCCATGCCATGATTGTAGTCCAACTGAAAAAATCAAATCGGTTCGTTGACTGATAATCTAATTTACATTTTCGTTTTAGTTTATCAAATCAAATAATACATATCAAATAATACAAAAGCGGTAACATAATCTTTTATAACTATATGTATAATCGACTGACGAAATTCTTTGTGTGCTCTTAACATTTTCTGCAACTCAAACTTTCCTATTTCAGCCGTAGAGTGTGCTCCTCGAGAGAAACGAGGTATGTATTTATCAAATATTTCTATCATTTAACAAAAAAAAATTCTGTTCACTCAAAGTTTCGTTTGGTGTGTGTCAGAAAGACTCGATTAAAAATAGGCCTTAAGTGCGTACGTGTCAGATTCATCTGTGGTCAGCGTCGTCATCTGGCCTTAGCTTTTGTGAACATACAAAAGTCTTGTTAATCTTGTCGACGTACTACGACATAAAGTGTTGACGATAGTATTTTTTATTTTACTCGTCTTATTATGCAGTCAGAGTAAAACTCATGTGTCACTTACTGTTATTTGAAGTTAGTGAAGTATGGTATGCGTGATATAAATTGTAATTCCAATTTCGTTTCCAATATTTTTCCAATATTGACGTTTTGACTTTTCCCTAAACATAGAAATGTCAGCGTAACAATTATACATTCAACTGTTATTTTGGAATAATGTGTAAACGGTCGGCTGTTTTCAGATGCATTAATATGTGGGCACAATGCTCACTGGAATATGACATTGAACACGTGTGTCTGTGATGAAGGATGTGGAGGATCTTTGGAGACAGGATGCAGTAAGTAACTTCTTGTGGATGTTGATATTAAACAGTCTTTAAAAAAATATTTACTATATTTCATAGTAGTTGGTGCATCAACTTGTTTCACGCTGTCCATGTTGTCATATCCTGAATGAACACCCATTCACCTCATCTATATTTCAAGTACTAGCATTACTGATTGCTTACAACGATTTTATGCAGGGAACGTACATATGTTAGCAGTGGTTTCTTATAGTACAAGCATTTTTATCTTGCATTGGTCGCTAGTTGTTGTAAGTCGCTTGATAAAGAAACGCGTGCTCTTTGGAGAATTTGCATTGGGAAAAGAGTTTTCGAGCGAATATAGCAATGCCCATATAGAGCTAGTGCACACGTGTCCGCAAAGATATTAGTTCCCTAAAATAAGTATATATTAAAGTGTACCATTTGTCGTCAGGTATCAGATAGTATTATTTCCAAGAGCATCTTTAGACAAAAGCAAAATATGATGTTGCTATATCGAAATACATGTGACATTATTGACTAATTTGTTTCGAAAGTTAAATGAAAATAATCTCACAGGAAATAGGAAATAGGCTTATTTACTTATAAATGACGGAACACAATCAACTGAACTTTTTGAAAGTGTTTGGGAAATCTTTGAAGCTGTTGAATAGTTTTGCGTTAACTGTAACTTGTAATGCAATGAATACGATTACAACACTAACGTATTGCTCGCCTGTTTAATGACATCTAGATTCAAATGTTTTAACGAATGTGCATTTATTTGATGGCATTTGATAATTTTCTACAGATCTGCAATATTTTAGAGATCCTTAAATTTTATTTTTTTGATTTCATATCATTTGAATCATTATCACAGTACCACCACCAAATCAAGTAAGCAGCAGTGAAGAAAATAATGAGGATGACAGAAGCAGTAGTGAGGGAGATAATAGCAACAGTAGTGATGGAGATAATAGCAACACCAGCGAAGGAGACAGTAGCAACAGCAGTGACAGTGATAGTAGCAACAGCAGTGACAGTGATAGTAGCAACAGCAGTGAAGACGACAGTAGCAACAGCAACGAAGGAGACAGCAACAACAGCAGTGAGGGAGATGGTAGCAACAGCAGTAAAGGAGATGGTAGCACTGAAGGAGGAAAAGGTAAATCCCACAATTTACCTGTCTTAGACAGAATGATATAGTACTGGCTAACTCGAATCTTATACCACCACCATGTTTAATGTTTTCAAAACTGTATGACAATTGTAAGTTCATTAAAAACGAATCGGAAAGAGATAAAAGAAAGAAATGAAAGTCACATACTTAAAGATATTTTAAAGGTTTCTAGGAATTTGAATATCACAAACTCACTCAAATACAGTTTGTTGAACCGAATTAAATGTCATCATACGTGCTTCAGATTTTCGAAATACATGAAGACAAGTGTTATGGTTACAGGTTACTATAGACTTAAAAAGCTAATTATTCCCGTGTTTATTTTTAAACAGAAAATGAATCATTTTGAAAAAGAAAAAAAGAAAAAAAATCTTTTAGGTGTAGTGTTTCTTTCGAAGAACTAACTGTATTGTTTCTACATAAAACTTTCTAACAGGCTGTTTCTAGAAATGAGCGCACTTGAGCAACCACCTGTCAGTGCTTATTACCACCAAATAAGTAATATGTTACAGTGTTGCTTGGCAGAAAAGAACATATCTATATTGCAAGTTACTAAATGAAATTAAAATTATAGTTTTCAATTAGGATAAATGAGGGTTTTATCAGTGTGAATGCATTAATGGGAACGATTATTTTACAAGACGATTAACAGCGTTGAATAACTCGTTTTGGCAATATAGACTTCTCTATGCTATTTGGAATACAATCTTAATACTGTATACCGTGAAATTTTCGCCGCAGTTTAACTTTCGCCTTTTTCGTCCTCTGAAATGAGGGCGAATTTGTCAACACAGAGAATACTAATACACAACATGCAATTTATAGTAAATACAAGTGAAGGGCGAAATTAACACTGGGCAAACAGAGATTTTACCTGCAAAGGACGAATATATGAATATGTATCTCCATACTCGACATCGGCATAAGATAATCGTTTTAAAATCTATTTACAGAGACCAAATGTGGCATTCGAGCTTATCGTGTAGGAAAGAAGTGCGTGTGTTACCCGGGCTGTCGTGGGGATCCTTACGTCAAATGCGTTGGTATGTGGGCTCAAATAAAAACATTTAAAACGTATGATGTGTGAGTACCATCATTATATTTACATACTAACGTTGGTTAATTCGACATCATTATCAATCTATTGATTCTTTCCAAAAATTTGATAAACATTTATTCAACATCATGCTTTTCGATCATCATAGATATGTCGCACATCTAGAGTACAAGAAAATATTATTGGTGTTATCAAATTTTAACCAAAATAACATATTGATTTGTCAGTCATAGAGTCAAAATTATTAAGTATATTTGCATTATTTTCTTTTCAGATTAGCTGAAAAACGAGCATCAGTAATCCATAAAGACCGATTACCTCATACTTTATAAGACATTGTTGTTATAATACGCTGTAATAAAATATACAATTTGCATAAATATTGTTTTTTGTATATTATAAACAAACTCATATTAATACAATTAAACTTTGACTCAAAAGAAATAAAGATATAACAAACTGATAGAAAACGGAGAAACAAAGTGATTAAAAAAGAAAAACGGTTTGTGTGCATTCTGTCATATTTATGAAAATATATCAGTCATATAAACAATAATTAATCGACAACAGTGAATCCCAGCAGACAGTATATCCTTATAGATCTATTTCAATGAACGCTAGATCATGTAAGCTATGTTTTACTCAAGGAAAATCCCAATAAAGCGCATTGACCAATAACATTGTTAACCAAATGCATGAAACCTAGCCTTAAACGAAACAGTTGCAGGAAAAGGGGAAGTTGAACTGAAAGTCTCAATTACACCAGTAGCTTTCTGAATCAGCATTTTAGATGTTTAATAGGACCTTCTTTTCTTTGCATGACTGGTCATTGTTGACTGATGGTTACCTAACAGCCCCTACTGTTCCGCTGGCAAGGTGTACATGAAATAGGTTCAAAAATATATCATCTACTACACTGTAGCCAAAATACGTTCACTAATAACGTGATGAAGGGTTCTATACACACCTTTTCGTTTTTGCTGTATTCTATATATTGAACACTTTACACACGGTTTTCATTTTTTCTTTGTCTTTTAGTTTCACTGATGAGTTCAAAAATGGATAAAATGGACATATATTGCAATATTTTTTTTACTTTGTATGGCTTTCCGATCGACAAAATAATTTTGATTAGGGGCTTCCTTGGGTGCTAAATTAGACTCATGCTTCGCGTAATAATAAGTTTCGCTAATTCAAGTATCGAGTATTACTCGAACAAAGGACAAAGACATTAAGAAAAAGACAAATTATTGTCACTTCGAATAAGTGTAGACAGTGCATGTCGCGAAGATGTATGTGCATTTAATATGACATTTCAGTTATTTTTTAAGGATCCTCGTACCACTGCGATATTGATTTTGTTCAAAGAGGATAGCATTGATAAATCATTATTGAAAAGAAAATGATACATTGTGGGACTTTTGTTTTTTTAATTGAGATATCTCATTTAATTTCTATACGAGATCTATCACGTATACTATATAAAATATCTTATATAATATGTTAGATATATTATATACCATATGAGATATCTTATATAGAAATTAAATGCGATATCTAAATTAAATATATCAGATATCTTATTTATTTTCATAGTAAAACAATAGATATCTAAATAATATGTTAGATATCTCATATACTATACAAAATATCTTATATAAATGAAATCTCGTTATTTTATGAGGTATCTTATGTAGTATGAAATTTCGTAGCATTCAAAAAAGGAACCTTATTTCTTCCCCGAGAATCGTTCGGGCACGTCTTTCAGAGGCCGCCATTTCACGCACGCTAGAGGTAGGCTCGACATTATGGCGACAGGACCGTGCGTTGATAGCAAGCCTACTGCCTTTTCTAGTACTAGATCCTCGAGAGATTCCGGGCGGGCAGACTTGTGTTTCCGACATTTTGTTAAAATCTTGTTCCTGTATAAAATATCTTATATATTGACGAGATTTCATACTATAAAAGATATCTTAATAGCATATAAGATATCTGATAAATTATGTAAGATAGCTTATACAGAAAATTAATTGAGATACCTTCTACAGCATATGAGATATCTTATACATCATATGAGATATCTTATACATCATATGAGATACCTTATATAGCATCCCATATCTTATATAGTATATGATGGAGCATATGTATTATATAAGATATCTCATATAACATATAAGATATCTCATATACCATATAAGATATCTCATATACCATACAGGATATCTCATATACCATATAAGATATCTCATATACCATATAGGATATCTCATATACCATATAAGATATCTCATATACCATATAAGATATCTCATGTACCATATAAGATATAAGATATCACATATACCATATAAGATATATCATGTACCATATAAGATATCACATTTACCATATAAGATATATCATATACCATATAAGATATAAGATATCACATATACCATATAAGATATATCATGTACCATATAAGATATCACATATACCATATAAGATATATCATATACCATATAAGATATCACATATACCATATAAGATATCACATATACCATATAAGACATATCACATATACTATATAAGATATCTAGCTTGTATAGTATTATGAAGATCGGGATCGACATTGCTCCTAGAATAAATGTTAAGTTGGCTTGCCATATATGTTTCCTGGCAAAACAGTGCTACAGCTATAACGGTGCATACGATAAAACGAAGTGCAGTGGAAAGGACCCTTAAGGGACTCCATCATCAATCTCCATATGATTTCGGCTGTTTCAAGGAAAATCGTAAAATCCTAAACAAACAATCAAAATTGTTTTACAGTTGAAGTGGTTGATTTATTCTTAGTAAATGTATTCTAGTGTAAATCCCAATCGTAACTAACACGCAATTTAAGTAACAATTTGAAATCAATGTAAGGAAATGTGTTATCCCTTGATCAGGATTGATATTCTTCTACATTCATTTTGGGTTCAGAGTAAAATAGATATGCTTTTAAATGTTATTCATAACAATAAAATGTTGTATCGGAGAGAAAATGTCTTAAAAGCAGATATGCTTTGATTTATTGAAATAAGAATACTTAATTGGTTTGTTTAAGACATGTTCAAAGACCGGCCACTGACACATGCTATCGCGAGAGAGGTTTTCGTAATTCATTGCAATTTTTTCCATGCGATTTAAACCATCCTTCAGGTTTCGAACTTAATGATACATACTGAAGAGGAGATATAATTCGACAAAAGTGAGATGGAGTGTGAGGTACAATTTAGCATTCCAAGACAGCATGTACATCACTATTACTGTGCGATTACAAGCAAAGGATTTTGTTAGGCTCTGAAATTGTGTTTCCGTCCCTCTGAAACTGTAGGTATATTAAGGCTTTGTTTGATTATTAAATAAAATGCTGTTTAAACTAAGACGGCCAAATTTTCCTACAATGGGGATAAGAAGAGAAATGTTTGTTTGTCGAAGCGAGAAATGGAATGTTAATCCTCAACAGTTTGCGAGTGAGAATTTGTTAAATTGTCTTGTGTTGTGCTGGGTTTCCTAGTCATATTGGGATTGTTGGTAACGAAAAAGCTAATTTTGATGCCAAATTTGTGTTAACTAATAATATTTATTTATTTTTTAAATCCTTACACTGATGTTGGTTTGATTGTTTGTTAGGTCTAAATGTGATTCACAATGGAAAACATTTAGCAAGAATAAATTTCACTTTATGGAGTAGACCATTTTATGATGATGTTCTAGAGATAAAATGGTCCTAGCCAGCTGCATTAAACGTTTCGACAAGGGAAATTCAACCCCAATGCATGTCAACGATGTCGTCGATGATTTTGCTGCTATCAATTTGAATATTTTGCTGGCATTTTTAAATAAACGTATACAATTCCATTCTTTACATGTTTTACATTATATATATCGTATAAGTGGTACATGGTGGTGTCAACTATAATATCAGTTCTGATATATGTGATACTGAAATGCGTGGTGTTACGTAACAGGTAAATATTACTATTTATCACCTGCTGGTCTGGATCTGAGATGTAATATACAAGCTTGGATTTAATTGATGAGTCTTATTCGGCTTTACTGTAACATAGATATATATTTTCTGTATTATGGAGTTTATAATTTAGCGCTAATATAGATCTATGATTGGAATGGATTGTCCAGTACTGGCTCAAGTTTCTCAATTTTCATTTAGATCAGGCATCGTTCATGTTGACCTTATTCGATATCCTGTTAAAAGTTCTATTAAACTATTTTTCTCCCCCATTCCATAGTAACGAATTAAACATGTACTTTTTATATTTTAACGTAAATATCGTCCACTATAATGTAATATCAGCAGCATAAACCAGATTAATACCATATCCCCGCTTTAAGCGCCCAATATATAATCCTGTTCTTACTACACGATATTGCGGGTTTATTCACTGAAGTGTGCTTCTCCTTTCTGATGCACTATTTCTGTGGTAAGCAACAGGTGTTTCTGAATGGGTAAGCGACAGCTGTGTCTTAACCTTCCACAAAAATCCGATTATCAGGTGTGTCATTGTACTATTCGCAACTACACGGTCTTATATTGTACAATGTAGTTGTAATGCATGTAATTCTAGAAAGTATTATGATTTTACCCACAGTGTATACTGTTGAATGCGTTTAATCCTTGAATTGGTCGGACAGTATTATTTCTTAACAATGTATACGTCGTCGATCAAACAAACAAAAAAGTCCCCTCACAAATACTTCCACATTTCCTTTAGGAAGTCTGTGCCAGTGTTCCACAAATGGAAATGCACTAGAACTAGCCAGAAATGTGAAGATGAGTTTCTAAAAGAAGTAATCAATTGAATAAATGCGTTGCTATTCATAGCAAAGCCAAATATCGTTATTTAGGGGGCACTATTCTTCGAATTAAATAACTTCAATCCTTGGAAATCCAATATAAAAACAAACAAAAACCAGACACATGCAAAATCTTGCGTGCTATCGTATAGATATAGGTTTTCTAAGGGGTGAAATGGAAACTAAGCAGTGATGTCAATGTGTGTTCGTTCCCCAAATTGGAAAATGCATTTAGAGATATTCTTTAGTCCATTTACGTAGATTAGTTAACATCAGATAGATTCTCGGTAGGATCAATTGATATGGATACAAGAAGAAATTGTGTCGATGGTTTTGGAAACAATGGTCTATTTTGGTGGCAAATTAACATATGCACGACAGGTCGGAAATGGATACAACAAACTATTAAAGTGTATGTGTTACTACCATTGTTAAAAACTTTTGTTTAAACATTGTAAAAACAGTAATCGACGACATGAATTATGGTAATAAACCCAGGAGGTATGTGTTTACAGTGATTAAGCGGCAGGCAAATAAAAGTGTCGCTGTCATTTAATTATTGGTGTAAGTAGTATTGATCGGGATAGTGAAGCGCTGGTATGCAATGGTGTAGATTTTAAATAATCGCATTACGGCACAATGGATATTTCCAATGCAACATTCAGGTTGCATTTTTAATGTTATTTGTTTCTGCTTTTAAAATGATCGGTAATGCTGAAATAGTCCAACATCGTTTTATTTGAAAAACGATCTATTTAAGCCAGTGACGGTGCCTGCCAAAAATAAAGCGGAGGTAATGCCGGATTCATAATAAAACCAATAACTTAGAATACCTTAAAATTGTTAAACAGACAATTTCGCACTATTATGAATTTACTCTCCTGTGCTTAATCTAGTTCAATTCTATCGATTTTGTATAAATGTTAGATATTTCAAATTTAATTCAAAACGACAATTGATTTTGAATATGAACTTAACTCAAATGATCTATCTTAATACAACATTGACTTTAAACTTGTGAAACAAACGTTCAGTTTCATTTTTTTTTCAAAGAATATACGATACATATAATGTATGTTACAAGAAGTTTTAGATAACTCACTGTTTCTCAGCAATTTGAATCAGTAGAGAACTTCCTTATTTTTAACTGTAGCAGACCCCAGTCTCATGAACTTCGATGGTTTCTTTAACTTACTCTTCTCGTGTAGGAAAAGTATTGGTCGTATTCGAAGAAAATCTTTGCTACGGATTTCTTTAATATTTTTTGTTGGCCAACTGACACATGGTTAAATTACCTGAATGAAGTATATGGCAGTTGTCGCCGATGAATAAGGAGACGATTTCCCTTCCAAAACTGCTAGTATTATTTTCCTTGCACTTTTTATATGTATCCGAGTAAATTTTGTCTTCGTTCATATTCACTCATAGTTTCAGCAATTTTGAGTTTTTATTGTGGTTTTCTTGACACTTTGTTATTTTCTTATATTGAATCTACTTGAGTGGTAAAAGAAGTTAAACTTTTTATTACAAACGCATTTTATCGGTTTTAGTAAAACTTAACAAATCGGAAGATTTTGGTATTTAATGGAATTATGTTACCTAATTCACGAACTGCGGCTAAATGTAAAAACAATGATAAATTTACCATCATCGCAAAGATCGTCAACAGAAAACAAATGGTTCAAAATACCGGATTTATTTTTCATATTTGATTAACACGTACAGAAAGTTTTGCTATATTCAGTCAAATTCAAATGTTAAAAAAATTAATGTGTTCTATTGAAAATAAAAATACATATTCAACAAAGATAAGAAATTGTTTCGAATCGTTAGTCTGTGTAATTAATGTCCTTTTCACATCTTAGTTCAGTAGTTAAAAAAGAACACTTCCAAAAAGTGCCATAATAAAACAAGCAGCATGTTCATGCGTTATCTTCTATAAGATTCATCAGTTTGGAAATATACAATATAATAAATACTTAAGTATTACTTAATACACAAATAATGTACGTATTAAACGTGTCGCAACATGTACGACGATGTAAGGAAATTGTTTATTGCATATGTCACTCGATCCGGGACGTTCTGCCTATCGATACAGAGTGTATCGAATAGATTACTGGTTGGATGTACATCTAGCCCCGGGCCCCTCTTCCTATTCGTGGGTTATCAATCTAATTTTAATCAGACTGATACTTTATACTTTGCAGAGCATCTTCATTTGCAATATCTTGTACAAATGGAGAAAACGTAAGCATTCAGTAAATAATTCGGAATTAATTGTTGATTCACTATATATACCACATTACAATCTGTTTTTCAAAATCAAAACCGTATCGGAATGACATTTTATGACGAAATTGTTATAAGCATGCAACCTATAAAACCAACTTTGCATCAATCGACACATGTTTACATACAGTGGCTATGTGTAACCACCCTGAAAATTGAATGCGTCTGTTACTTCAAACGGATAGCAACATCAAGCAGAATTCTAAAGGATTTTAGCAGATTTGTTGTACAAAAATACTTCAAAAATTAATGACCCAATATGTTGTCAATAATTAAGTGTGCTTACAAGTACAAAACAACAAACATGACAAATGACTGTACGTTCCAAATCTTACATGGCCTGGGGCCATCTCTGTTCGACCGTTGACATTGTTCCATACCTGAATAATCCAGGTAATTGTGCGAGACCTTTCTTATGACAATCTCTGAGAATAATGATAGACACAATAAGACAGTATACACCAGCTTTATGTGCGATAGAAACAAACGAAATATTTCAATGGTAATTTAGGTATGAAGTCAATATATGTACAGTGTCTTGTCGATAATGTTACACCTCCTCTATTGTCATTCGAGACACATATTCCTTATATAAAATACATCCTTTTTCGGGATCAACAGCAGCAGATAACATTTCCTCCATTTCCTCTTGCTGGAAAGGTTCTCCTGTGGAGAAAGAACAATTAAAATGTGAACAATTCAATTAAAGTACATAACAATCGTTAATGAAGATTAAACTTAATTATAACCTGTGAATATTCTTGTGCAGCACATGTAGTTAATTTAATTTAAAAGGCAATGACAGGTCCTTACTTAAAATTCAACAAGCTCGTTATCTACAAATATATCAGCGTATCACAACAGTTGAATTTTACAAGCTGTCTTAGAATCATTTTTTCGTGAATGAAATCGACTTGTGATCCTTTAAATTACAATTAGAATACCGTATGCGGGATTTGCCGCAGGTTCGTTTCGCCTTAGTAAATTTCCAGGTATATAGTAGCTATTTTAAACTCTGTACAGATTAACAAAATATGGTTTTCTTCACATCTATCGCAAGTACTAAAAAAAACTGAAGTAAGCTGAAGCAAAGTGGAAAGGTGTCATGACGATCACATGTTTGTATATTTGACTATAAAAATATCTCAATTCGATTTCTTAAAACTAGGTCATGTCATTAAGCAGACAAGCACCGTATGTCTTCTTTTCTAGATATGTTAAAATCCTGCACTATCTATATTGAATTATAAAAAGGATCTCATTTAAATTGCTTACACTTCGTTTGACTCTTGACTCATCAACTAAAGAAATTTACGACAACAGGAGCAACACTCACCATCCTCTGACATGTACTTGGCCAGGTCCTCTTGTGTTAGATGACCCTTGTTGTCGTGGTCCAGGACTTGGAAAGCCTTCAACAGCTGATCCTCCGGTAGAGGTTTGTATCTGTAACAGTCCCGATATACCATAACGCTAGCTCTACATCAAATTATCCAACACATTTGAAATTTAATTATATTATGAAATGTGAATCATTGGAACTTTTGTCCTATGATTTGATTTACTTGACTTCAGCTTTCAAATTCTCCTGTTCAAGTTCTCAATCTTACTATTATATATATAAAATTGAAGTTCCTCTCTAATGCTGCCAGAAAACTTAATTATAACGTTAAGTCGACCTACAATAAAAATTCGTATATGATGTTCTTCATTTGACTCTTGACCGGATAAAAAGGTGGCAGGTTTGTTTTTAATGACAAAGAAATAATAATTGGCTTTATTGAGATTTAAATTGCTACAGAAAATAAATTGCATTCAAAATACCATTCCGAAATCTTATTGAAGACATACTTGCCAACTCTCCCTATTTAAGAGGGAGACTCCCGATTTTGGACCCTTATATTTAGTATTTTCAACCAGTGAATTAGCTAAACTATTCCTATATTTTAAGATGTAATTGTTACATCTGAAAGAACAACTCAAAATATGTAATTTTAAAGGGTTATGTTGTCTCTTTAGGGTATATAAATACACTTTATTTATGTTTTAGTTTTGTGAATGCAGAATCTTACCCGTGGACCGTACTTAAATAACCAAAGCTGTTGATTGGACGTTAAACAATACTAAACCAAACCGATCCCCGTTGAAATTTTAAAAAGTTGGCAAGTATGTGAAGACATTCCGAAAACCTTTTCTAAATCATATTTTGTAGTGAAAACAGAGAGTATTTTAAAGAAACCACTATAGTCCATTTTAACGCTTTATCTTTAATTGCTATAGTACGTTTTGCCATTTAATGCTTTATCCTTAATTGCTATAGTACGTTTTGGCATTGTTGAGAAGTACAACCAGGCATTATTGAAAAGTATTTTTAAACTCTTAGTAGTTAAATGATCGGGCTACCTACCTTCTCTCCATTAAGACTTTCGTCATCATTGGCAAAAACTTCTCAAAACGAATATATCCTGTTGGCTCCTCTTCTTCAATCTGTAGAAAATATCAGGCATACTGTATCATAATGTTGGGTAAGTTCAATTACTATACACAACTTAGGAAGAAAATATATAAATCAATTCCAATGCCTACTATAACTCATTAGTCACTTCAATACCAAGTGTTGCATTCAATTTTGATAATGGTCATTGTTTTATACACCAATGTATTTATGACTACCGTAACTGGGTTGTACAGAGAGAAAAAAGACAGGAATAAATACACAATATGTATATTTCAAAATAGCAAATGCTCATGTTAAGAGGGACAAAAACAGAGTAATGCAGGAAAGGCAAAAAGGAAAAACATACAACTTTTGAGAGTGTAGGGACAAGACTATGCTTTGGAATTTAGCAATTCGGAAGGCCACGGGTTACAATTGTATGACAGTTTAATTATTTCACTCCTAGGTAACTTGAGTAGACTCTACCATACATTCATCTGGATGAGTCCATTATGGTTTACAGTGGTGAAAGTGTTAAGGTATTGTCTTTCCACGAAATCAAGTTTTGCAAAGGGTCTGAGAATGCAAAGAGTTGTTTATATGTGAGCTAAGTAATGTAATGGGTCTAGGTTAAAATTTTGGTTGGTTTAGGTTACAAAGGGTTGTCTACCTGTGAGTTAAGAATTGTGAATAATCTGGTAAAAAGAGTTATCTATCCATGAATAAAGTAAATTGTCTAGGTTACAAAAGGATGTCTGCCTGTACATTCAGTATTTTAATGGGTCTATCATGGGTAGAAAAGGTTGTCTCTCCGTGAACTATGTATTGTAAAGTGTCCTGAGGTACAATGGGCTGTCCACCCATGAATGAAGTACTGTATAAGGATTTTCAGACACAAATAGTTGCCTGGCTGCGAGTGAAGTATACACTTACAAATGTTAAGGATTGTAAAGACTTTTAAAAATACAAATGGACTGGGCCAAGGAGTACAAAGGATATATGTCTGTTAGTTAAGTTTTGTTATAAATCTGTAGGAGTTCAAAAGACTGGTTGCCCCTGACAATCAGTTAAAATGTCATACCACGGAGAATAGGTCGTAATGTGGTGCCACACCTTACATACACGTATACCTATCTACATCCACAAAAATACAGAGAGTTTAACATGAAAGTCACATTTATGAAGCAATTGAGATTATTTTGTGCAGTTGTCATCAGCTCTCTTTCCAAACATATTTTACAGAGTTCAAATTTTGCATATATTTGTAAAGAATGAAAAAGTGTCATCTAAAAACGTTCAGCAGGGCTAGACAAGGATTCGAACCCTGAACTTCAGACTGTTGTACTATCATTTATCTCACTGAGCTACCAGGTCAATGGAAGTATCCTAGCCCAACTGTGCTACAGTTATATCCAAACAGAAGCTAAGGAGAGGTTACTGTATGTCGGCAAAAACCACAGTGTAGTGGGACAGCAATCCTTAAGCTTGATCAATTAGTGTTGGTCTCGAAGTATAAGGTGTAAATTTTCCCCACATAAACTTGCAAACTTTTCAGCTTAATAAAAACTGTGGAATATTATGGACTGCTTCAGTAGTAAAACAACTCATTACCATATTTATGAAAGGTACCCATGGAATAGTCTTAAACTAATGGCATAATGAAATTACACAAGGATATCATCTTCCCTTGTGAAATTTGAAAGCAAAAATCTTTACTCAAATTAAATATCTGCTATAAAGCCACATTTTCAAGTAAGGATACCTGTGTCTGTGAAATTGTCTTTAAATATGCCTAAATTTTCTTAAATCCTTACACAGAAAAGGATCAAAGCTATTTGCACTTCACTTCTTGACCTTGACAACACATATTCCAACATCACTACTTTAAGGTATTCATTGTACCTGTGGTCAAGACAAAAATAAGAGACAGAAATGGAACAACATTTTACTGTGCCTCAGTACAGTGTTGCTGGACTACTAATTATCAATGTTCTGCTTGAGTATGGATCTATTTATTTGAGTTACATCTATGCCTACCTCTGCAAGCATGTCATGGAGCTCTGTCTCACTTGGGCAGCATCCTAATGACCGGATGATTGTTCCTACTTCCCTGAAACAGTGAAATCAATGGGGACTTTTCAGATGTAATCTAAAGCAATAAAATCTAATAGAATGACAAAATCTAAGATATCATACTAGCTATGAATCAATTGTAATCATATCATTTTTTGCAAGTTATCACACTGTATTAGAAGAATTTAATTATTCTCATATCATATAGCTATCTTATAAAACTGGGATAAACAGTTACACACACACAGTTAAACATAACGTTACGGTAAACAGGTTTATACCTATATCATGCTTACAATGACATCATTGTTGTGTTGCTTGATGACAAAGTGTTTGTTAGCCACCAAGATTTATATAAACATGTTTTTTTCAGTATACACAAGTCTGGGTGGTTTGGTGGTGCAGTGGCTAGCACACTCGCCCTTCACCAAGGCGGCTGGGGTTCGAATCCCCAACCGGGCATGAAAAGGGTACGGGGTCAACTGACAGACCTCATGGGTTTTCTCTGGGTACTCCAGATTGGAGGCCTCCCACAATTGTTGGGAAATTAATAAATTTTAGAATTTAAAACCATCTGCATTTGATTACACAGACCTAAATGTTAAAGTGAAATTTTGAAGTGAAGAGGCCAAAACGACCGATATATACGCTATACAAATGGAAAAGGTTCTTGTACCTAAGTTTAATAACTTTTTGACCACTACATATTTGTTTAAACCACTTGTCAATAATGATACATTATTTGTGCGTATGGAAAAAAAATGACGATGACTTTTTGATCTTAATATGTTTGTTCTGTGTGATCGGACACATATGTACAACAATACTTCAAAATAATTTGTGGTGGAAGGGCACTAACTCAGTGTTATATTGAACTATTACACTATAATAAATCTTCTCTAGATATCTTGCATAGTAATTATTTTTATATATTTAAATACAAAGCTAAACATATGTCAATTAAACAATTAAATTTTTAAGGAACATCTCAAATCACAGGCACTACCGCTGAATACTAAGGATTGCATTCTAAGTTTGCCAAATCTGTTACGTGAAGTAGCTTATTTTACAAATATCTTTATTTGGCAAAAAAAATTCACAATACATCAAAGGAGGGAAATTGCTCTACTTTCTAATTTACTCTAATTACATAAGAAAGTAGACCATATACTATATACATCAGCTTAAGTTAAAAAATAAATTTAAAAAAAACTATATACGGTACATCATTTTAATCTGACTTTTGTCAATTTTATATTGTGATGAATTGAGTTGACCTTGAGGCAAATAAATAATTGAGCCGCAAAGCAGTTTGTGTTGATTTTGTCAAGACCAACTTAATTCATCACCCCATCCCCTGAGATTGGCCAAACGCAATTCAATCCTCATAAAATGGTTAAAAGTATTAAATAAAGAATTACCTGACATCAACTGTTTTGTTATTTTCATTGTCAAAAATATCAAACGCATCTGTTATTCTTTTTTGGATGTCAGCCAGCAAGGAGTCTGAAAGTAAAATGTGAAAATATTACAGTAAAAATACCATATAAAGAATGAGCAATGAAATAAATTTAGTTACGAAGCATTTCATCGTTGTTTGAACTAAGTGCCTGTTTAGAAAGCTGTACACATTTCTTATGTCATGAATATATTGCCATAGAATAACAATAGTACTGGGTAAAATATGTTTAACAAATTTGATCCATATGTCAAATCAATATATATGTAAATGTATATATCAATCATGCCAATGAAATTGATCATCTCTGGCAACTTTCAAAAAAACTATCAAAACTTGGGAATTCATTATTCTGTAGACGGCAGCTACTTTAATATTCCTCTTTAGTAAAACATACATTATTCCAGTAATTCCACTCAGAGAAACAATTGCCATGAAATGATATCACGATGGAAGATGACATGGTATAGCATTAGTGTTGCCTGGCATCATAATTAGAAGATTGACCAATACCTGAAACGTGTAACGGCCAGGATAAACTTGGGCTATACAGAGTGATTTTAAGAAGCACAAAAAAAGGAATTTCAAACTTGGTATTTGGCTTCAACCCATTCTGTTATTCTGTGATCTTTTACAAAAGTAACAAATGTTATTCCATAGGAAATTGTAATGAAGTACATATGAAGCGGAACTGGACTGGGTCGATTGTCGGTGACCAGGTTTACCATTTAGCTCAATTTATAGAGTGTCCATCTAGAGTTTGGAGGTTCCGATTTGAACCCTGGTCTGGCCCTGCATTTCCCCTCTCCTGTTACAGTGATGCCTGTGACCAACCCTTGTTTCAAGCATTTGATGTACGCTTGGCAAGGGGATACCCGAACCTCGGTTGTAAATAGTTCTGTCTTCGGAACTTCGTAAGGTTGGGGGGAGGGTAGAAAAAGGAGGGAGGCATGTAGCGGAACTGGGTCAATCGTCCGTAAGTCTGTATAGAGTTGGAGGGTCCCGGGTTCAACCCAGTCTGGCAATGTTTTTTCTTCTCTCCTGTTGCACATATATTTAAAGCATTATACTGCTTTCAGTTGGCATTCATAGGCGGTCTCACTTAAAAGCGCCTTCAACCAACAACAAGCGTCTTCAAGTGACAACAAGCGTCGCCAGACAAAATCTTTAAAGAAACTGAATAAAGTAAGCGACATCAGAAGATATGTACCTCTGTACCAAATTTCAATTTGCTATTTGATAAAATGACCGAGAAATGATGAATTGAATTTTTACGATTGCGGCGTGGCACATGTGTGTATTACCTTGAAAAGTGTCGCCAGATAATATCGTTACAATAACCCGCTAAAGTAAGCGACATCAGAAGATATGTTATTAGTTAGACTTTTATTAATATATACTCCAAACTTCAGCTTGATATTTGAAAACATGATTGAGTTATTATTAATTTATTATTACGATCGGCGGCGTGGCATACGTGTGTGAATAGAAATCAACAAATGAAGAAGCGTCGTCAGAACATATCTCTAAAAATCATCGATTAAGCAAGCGACATCAGAAGATATGTTGCAGATTCAGATTCAGATTCAGAGTTATCGTGAATTTATTATTTTACTATCGTCGACTTGGCACACATGTGTTAATAAAACTGTATTTAATAGAGGGCGGAGCTCTCTCACGGGCCCGAAGGGCTCGTGAGAGCAAAGCTCTCCCTATAGGTAACACGTATGTAAGAAAAATAAAGATTATTCACAATACCTATGGAACTGAAAAACTTGTCTCAACATGGCCGCCAGTCGCACGCGCTGTAGTCTCCGCCATCTTGATCTCGAAACAAGTTCTTGTTTGCCGAGTCTCGAACAAACGTTACATTTTTGTAAGATTTAAAACTTATATCTAACTATAGGATACTTAAATATTTGATACTTTCCGGTTAAAGATGTAAATTCTCTTGACATTACGTTACCGGCTACATTGCTCTAGTTCTGAATGGTCGAAAAATTATTGTATCGGCAGTGTAGTCACGTTGAATCAGACGCTTGCGCAGACAACAAGAGTCTGGTTGAACGAGACTATCATGCAGAGTTACGGTCCTTGCACTCCCAACGACAACTCTGGGTAGAGATTGCAGTGGTATATATTTAGAAAACGGAATATCAACAAAACAACGTGCTGGTTGTCAACAAAAAGGGAGTTTATCACAGTGACGCATAATGATAGGATACAAAAACATACAAGTATTTTCATAAGAATTTTTTAATTGATATTTTGCACGAAAAAAAATAGAAGAAAAAAAATTGAATCCATACTGTACTGTAACATTTTCATTTTTGATTACTATCTCACAGCTATTTTTTTATTCATAAAAGAGAATCTGCTGTTTTACAAATCTGCACGATTTAAAAAAAAATCTATCCAGTTTTATGTGCTGAACTGATTCAATTTCTAATTGAGGAAACAATACATTTTCTCTATTGCTAAAACTATACATAAAGCAGAGACATATAAAGCATATAGTCAGTAAGTTGCTGAAACAAATGTATTCATCCACAATATATATCTATTGACTCTCTTGGCTGCAATGATGGGTATTGAAAAATGACAAAAATTGTGATTTCGCATATTCTTCTTATTTTTAATAGAAACTTCATATAAATCCAGTTTTTATAGCACTGAACAAATTAATTTTTACACATAAAAAGCACAAAAATTGTAAAATACTATGCATAAATTCTCTCTGGATACAATATTTATAAATCATTGAAGTTAAGTTTGAAGTAATTCGTAAAGATATATACATATATATATATGTATATCTTTTCGTGGATATCAGATAACTATGCTATTATACATGATTAACAATATCCATCCTAATATGTTTTATTTCAATGTCTTTGTAGAATATGCTGCACTTGATTTTTGCAATGGATTCAAGAGGTGCAAATTTAAATACTTATATAGAGTCTAATGAACCTTTCGCATTCTCACATTAATGTCATGTCATCATACGCCTAGGCGGAAAACTTCAAGATATCAAACATCTTGTCAGCCAAAAAGAAATCAAGAAAGGAAACTTAACTGTAATATACACTGTATAGCTATACATGTAGGTCTGATTTAGTAATTTAACACATCACTCAATGCTTGAAAGAGTACAGTACCGATATTCCGATACATTTACAGTACAACCTGGCTCCGCCCTCACTAACGGCCGTGTCGTAAAACATATTACACTGCATAGGTCTTTGCATTGGAACAAACGATAGGAATAGGATGACAATGAACAGTTTAAGTTTCCTGTCTGTGTTGACTTCGTGGTAGTAACGTTACAGTAATGCTGATGTTGATAATTTTCTACAGTGAGTGGTGCTATTGCCATGCAACCTGTTTGTCGTTACAATACCTCTTCAATGTCGACGTAGATTGTTTAACACGAAAGTTTTTCAAACAACAGTTAGTCTCGTAAAAACAATAGCAAAGCATTGTGACACTAAGCAGAATAACTTACCTGTATTTTCTTTCTGTTCGTCGGCTCCGGCCATGTTGTTTATTTCGGTTGCCAGATGAAAACGGTTGATCAATATTACAAAATATGGCATGCTCGGGAGATTCAAAATTAATGTTCTATCCGGAAGCAAAATGTCAATATAATTTTATAGATCTTTTAACACGCATTAAATACTATTCACGAGTTTAGTGTGTGCCAGCTTTATTAATTTTTCATTGAACGTAAATAAATATTCGCCATAAAAAACACTTTTAAAAATAGATTAACCAACATGGCCGCGTCCAGTTGAAGGCAGAAACCAGACGTACAGACTTCTTGTAGATACCTTCTTTTAACAGCAATGGCGTCATTAAAAGCGATTCTGATTGATGCTAAAGTTGACGAATTGCATCTAGTTGAAACAGTGAAAAATGCAAAAAGCTTGTATTTCACAGGACTGGGAACAAATGACAAATGGAAAATATGCTCCACGAATGGAACGGACGTGTGGAAAGTGGAACTGGATGATGACGAGCTCGAATCTTATAAAGATGCTGCAGGAGTCAGTACGTTAGAGGCATTCTTGTCCAAGTTCAGGTAAAGTAACTATTTATAAAAACAATGGAGATAATCCATTATCCACGCCGTCATGATTATAGAGTCTAGCCCGGAAATATCGGTAACGGGTTGTTTCGCCCCAAATCCCGTTCGCCCTAAGGGTTGTTTCCCCCCCAAATCCCGTTCGCCCCAGGTTGTTTCGCCCTAAAAAATATTTTTTTCTTTAAGTCATAAATATCATGTTAAAAATTAAAAAAAACTTATCTTTCTCTTGAATCAAGATATAATTACGTGCCGGAAGGTGAAGAACGAAACTGTATATTCATCACCGAATCCTACAACGGACATACTAATATCCGGAATATACTGTATATTATCGTTTTCATTTCTTTACCTTAATTAAGTAATGTTGTTCTTTATAAAATGCACCTGTATATATTTTAACGTTAAAAATATTTAAAACATGATATAAACAATTAAAAGCACCCTGTCACGTCAGCCATTTTATATAAAACAAATTTCTCTTAGTACATAGATACGTATACGAAATGGACATAGATTAGGTACAAATTGCGTATAAGAATGAAAAGAAATTAATACTTTAATTATATATATCTATAATATATAGATAAGATATGGACATATAATGAAACTAAATTAATTTCTCTAAGTACATAGATACGTATACGAAATGGACATAGATTAGTTACAAATTGCGTATATAGACTGAAACTACATACGTATATTAATTGCGTATAAGGATGAAAAAAAACAAAACTTTCTCTAGAGAAGTATACGAAATGTAAATAATTCCCCAAGTACATAGATACGTATTTTAATTGTTAAGCAGATGTGTACATTTGAATTATGAAATAAACGTTGGCAATTTACTTAGGGAATTATCAAAATACATTAAATATACTTGTATAATAATGTACTTGTCAGTCTGGCAGGTTCTATGCTGCCAGGTTCTATGCTGCCAACAGTCACACACATCACTTCAGATACCATGCTGTCTGCGTCTAACCACGGAGTCGCACAAAATGCACAAATCATCCATAACGTAAATTACGTTATGGATGATTTGTGCATTTTGTAACTTGTCATAAATAGAGCATTTCTCAGTACTGTGTTATAATTCAACATTACTAATGTTGAATTATAACACAGTATTGAAAAATGCTCTATTTATGACAAGTTACCTACTCAAAATTATCTACTCAAATATGCATATTAATTTTTATTGGTCGGTACTATCACGGACTTAAATCTAATTCCGTGGTACTATCAAAACTTCTCAAAATGGACATAATCTCCAATTAGCAAAAAACAACACGGACGTGTGCAGAAATCAAGTAAAGAAAACATCGTCACACGGCGACGAGTATGCGTACAGCCGTACACTAAACTAATTTAAATGTGTTAACATGGAAATAATATTGTTGTATACCCCGCAATTTTTAAAATTACACCATTTTTGTTTCATTTCACTATTCTTACTTATTGTTAAAATTAAATTCAATATATGTTATAATGTGTGTCGACGTTAAGAAAATAACGTAATCCGTTTTTTTGCTTTACAATGTACTTAAAACAACACAAACACATTTTTTTTAAAAATAAAACTGATTTTAATGATATGAAAGAATAAGAAGACTTAATTTGTGACTTAAAACAAGTAAAAATGAAAAGAAAATACCAAACAATGTTTCGCCCTAAAAAAATTGTTTTAGGGCGAAACAACCTGGCGCGAAACAACCTAGGGCGAACAGGATTTGGGGCGAAACAACCCGGAACCGGAAATATCCCTGTGTCATCAGTTTCCGCACCCTTAAAAAGCAACTACGATTTTGTACTCACATCGGCAGAACACTGTTGCAATTACTGATGACTTTCATAGACATGTGTACATGTGCAATCTACTAATCAGTTCACACTGTTCTTCCAGTCGTTGTAAGTGACTTCGACTAGTGAGACTGTCCTATAATCTAATGAAAACAAAGAACAAGCATTAATTGTAAAAAAAAAATATACATGATTATCTTTTCAGGTCCAGTACACTCTGCTGATTGAGCTATTGTAAATGATGTGCATTGATTATGTTGCCTTACAAGCGTCAGCTGTAGGGAATTTCCCATTAGCTTAGCTAGGTAGAACATCGGGCTGGAGAGCCAAGGGTCGCAGGTTCAAGCCCCAGCGACGGCCCTTCTTTATCACTATTTTCGTCCTATTACAATTTGGTGCCGTTGACCCTCTATCTCGGTTCAAGGTAGGAGAACATGTTGCAGGGAGTCAAAGAACCTGGGTTGGTGTTGGAAAAAAGGGGGAAATAATGGAGAGCCAAGGGTTGCAGGTTCGAGCCCCAGCGACGGCACTATTTTTATCGATATTCCTCGTCCTATTACACTATATACAATGTAGCTGTAAAGACCTATAATAGCTCTATTGACCTATCTGAAATAGGTCTTTTGAGCTATTTTCAAGTGATTTTCTTTTTTAAAGAAAGGAACAGTCGCTTTCAAAAGAAGATTGTATCATTAGGTTGATAACAAAAGACATTAAATATAAGTATTCTTTTTAAAAAAATAATGATGTAAAAAAAATCGGAAATTTTACATTTATGAAAAATGAAAATAAACATCTACTGTATGCTTTTTGTAGTCAACATTTCCAAAAACCTCATTGTTTTACGCGTCTTTGTTTGATATAATGAAAATTGAAATCTGAGAAAATATAGCTCAATACAGCTATAATGTAGAGGTGAATATAGCTATATAGGTCTTTATAACTATATAGCTCAATCGGCAGAGTGTACTGGACCTGGTTTTAAAGGTATCCTGTATTTGCAGACTATAGCTATGTGTAACAGGAAAAAAGAGAAATGTAGGAACAGACTAGGATTCGAACCAAGGTACCTCCAAATTCTAGACAGAAATTACCAATTCTAAGTCTTTATCCTCAGTGATTTGCGAATTGGCAGCAGTAGCCCCACAGCAAAAAAATATTGCTGGTACGGTGTGGTACTGTGGTATGTTATTTTGGAGCTTATCTTTTCTGATGTTCCCAAACAAATGTGTTAAAATAAAAATTTGTTGGAAACACTGGATATAAATTGGAGCTCAGGTCCGACAAACACATATTGTTCACAACTCTGATAAAGAAAATAAAAATTGAGTTGATGTGATTTTATTTCAGAGTGAAGAACAAATGTAAATCATTTCAGTTCCGTAATTTGTACTGAAATACTAAACAGAATATTTTGACAGGTGAATGTCATTATAGGGGAAATGCATGGTAGGTATATATTAAAATAATCACATATTGGCAAAATTACCTCTTATATTGAAACATGCAAATTACATCATACATGAATATATAATGTAACAGGTGATGAAAAATGCACGGCCAGACCAAGGTTCAAACCTGGGACCCTCCAAACTCTACCAATTGAGCTATCTGGTCACCGACAATCGACCCAGTCCAGTTCTGCTACAATATATATAATATAACTTGTGTTGGGAATCATTTGGTATACCAGCAATTGATTAAATAATTGGAATACTCTGAAAGCCTCAACCGATCAATTTTGGATTCTGATCGGTTAAATATAACATGCGATGGAATACATAGTAAAATGTATATATGTCAAAGATTTCTGCATTAGAAATAGATTATCTCAAAAAGCACAAATATAGACCTAAAATTTAATAAAATTAAATAATGTGGTCAAAGTGACAACACATCATGTCTACTAGTACGTGGTATATGATAAAAACTCTCCATAGAAAAAAATCTTGTACATCAGTTTGGAATAAAAACAGGCTTTAAATACCTGTTATCCATAATGATTCTTGTATGATTTATATAAAAAAAAATCTATGATGTGAAATTGGAATCAATTTATTTAAAGTATCACTAATTATAACTAATCAATTAATTGTCCCATCACTATTTATATCTATAAAGTGACAAACAAGACCTGATCACAGTGTTTGTCATGGGAGATAACTGTGTTAGCTTTGACCTTTTGTTGTTATCATATAATGTCTACCATGAAAAAAGTTAATGGTAAACTTCATTAAATTTCATATATATACATGTATGTAGATAGTGATCAATACTGTAATGGCCAATGTGCAAAACTGGAAGATGCTGTCTTTCTTTCTTTCTATATATTTGTTTACATTAATGTCATACTAAACAGTTTGCCTTCCACTATAATGCACTAAAGGAAGCCAACATCCAATATATCTGTCTTTGTGTCAGATTGACTGAGAATGAGTTAAGACCAAATTTGCAAAACTAGTACACAATTATATTGGTAAGTTTTTCTCCTTGGGGTGAGAGGCGGTACATGGATACAAAATCTGTGATTCCAACCTATTTCTCTGTTATTTCTTTGATTAACTAAATTATAAGTGATTAAAATTTATGGAATTCTTCTGATTCTTGAATGTGTGATTGACTGTGGATGCAATTTTCACATGAAAACAGATATTGTGCAAAATATGAATATCTTGCATGCTTGTCATTATACATTTACAGTATAGATATAGCCTTTTTCGGAGAATAGGGGGGCTAATGTAGTCATGTCAGCGTCACTGTCAGGGTCCACATCCCACCTTCTTAGGTTAAAGTTTAGGGCAAGTTTTTTCCTGACAGTGTTGGATCATCAAACTAAATACACAGTTGTCTTTTATGAGGTTAAGGCATTTATATCGAGCGTAAGCAATGTGCTGGACCATATTTTATGGGCCAAACATGTTAAGGTACAGCAAAACCTTGTTACATTGCCATCATTTGTTCAAAGAAATGTTGGCATTATAAAGGGGTTGGGCGATAAATTGAGAAAAACATAATAAAGGGACCTGAAAATATGTTGACGGTAAGTGAGGTGGCAAATGCAATGATGGGCATTATATCGAGGTTTTACTGTACATTTGTTTCTATTGATATTTGCTATCTTACAAGTACAACATATATCACCAATATGTGAGCTATGCTGTTCTCCAACATCTCTTGTCAAAATTCGAGTCAAAAGCAGGTGGTAAATTTGATTACACATTGGAAAGAACAGTGCCTCTTCCATTTATTTTGCATAAAAATGGTTAACATTTGACCAAAGATAAATGTTCAGCTGTTAGATGTTTGGTCATTTCATATGTTATTTTGTGTGTGGTGATGTGTGCAATTATTTCATTGTCCAGAAAGGGTGTCATGTACAGTGTTAAAGTACAACTGTGAAGACATCTGTGCGTGATTAATACAATCTCTCACCCCCTTTGGGTTGAGATAGGGGAACCTCAACCAGAGGGGAAAGATTCTTAAGTTCCTCGAGGGTTGAGATTCCCTTTTCTCCTACCCTGGACAGGTGTATCCGCACTTTTACTGGTGTGAGATTTCCTTGCTTCACCCTAGGGTTGATACAGTGGGATTCCCCTATTCATAACAATAGTATGACGTCACTTCAACAATACAATAACGTCACAATAACAATCCATCAATGTCACGTCAACCCTGAATTTTGCATGTAACGTTATCATTACGTTGTGTATAATAGGGGAATCTCAACCCTCGGGAAAAGATTCTTAAGTTGCCAAACACTCGGCAAAGCCTCATGTTTGGCAACTTAAGAATCTTCCCCCTCGGGTTGAGATTCCCCTATCTCACCCCAAGGGGGTGAATGATTCTTTATCTCTTACCCTGTCCACTCATTATGTATCATATACACAACGTAATTTTGAAGTTGCAGGCGTAATTCAGGATTGACGTGACGTTGATGGATTGTCGACGTGACATCATGATATTGTTGCCGTGATGTCAAACCATTGTTATAAATAGGGGGAATTCCCTCATCTCAACCCTAGGGTGAAACAAGGATATCTCACACCAGTAAAATTGGCATATACACCTGTCCAGGACAAGAGAAAAGTTGTTACATTCAGATGTAACAGCATTCAGTTAGTGACATCATTATATACATATTATAAAATCTTTAGAGCAAAAATTGCTATTCTTATATTTAGTTAATTGTGTCATCATTATTTTTGTCTTTCATCTCAGGAAAGGATTTCTCGCTGGAGACATTGCTACTGTTATTCCATTTGTTGACGGGACAAAGGTTACCATCAATGTTGGTAAAGGTGCTGACAAAATATCCATTGATGTTTTTGAGGCAAAAGCTGCAGAAAGGAAAGCAGAACTTCAAAATGTGCTGTTTCGATTGGCAGATGAAAATATGGCACTCCGATCAGATCTGGCTGCTGCTGAGAAGACAATTGTGTCCTTAAAGGCTCAAAAAGGGCAAGGAGCAGCAGGGTTTTCCTTGAATGACATTGGACCTAAGAGTTCTAACCAAGCTAAAGCGAGACCAAAGGCAGGAATGAGTGCCGTCAATCCAAACAGTAAGAAGAGAAAAGCAGTGACTGGAGTTGTGTTTGAGTGATAACCGGAGGATAAACGATTAATAACAGGAGAATTAACGATTAATAACAGGAAGATTAACGTTTAATAACAGGAAGATTAACGATTAATAACAGCAGGATTAACGATTAAAAAACAGCAGGATTAACGTTTAATAACAGGAGGATTAACGATTAATAACAGGAGGATTAACATTTAATAACAGGAGGATTAACGTTTAATAACAGGAGGATTAATGTTTTGTACCCGAATGGACAGAGGCTGTTTGAAACACTGCCATTTAGATATGATATGAATCAACTCAAACTGTCTTTCATATCAAACGTAGGTTTCCTGTTAGTAGGAACTCATTTTCATGTCAATATATTTTTTATTCATTGGTGCATCAGTGTTATAATGTTTCCATAATTTTAAACAAAGTTGTCATATCTCGACTTAAATGAATTTACTATGTACACAATATTAAGAAAAAATCTTTTGCAAACAATTACATATTACACACATATTTTAGTTCATTTCAGATGCTACACAATAGTTGAGGTAAACCTTTAATAAGTGCAACAAAATGTATTGTGAGAGTAAATTATGTCAATATATTCAGGTTCCAAATTTTGTTCTTGCAACATCATAACACGCATTGCTTTTATTCTTTCTCAAATGGCAGCTAATTTTGATTGATGTACCATTGAATTACTTTAATGTTTTGTCTACCATTCATTGTTTGCTGTTACAAGAGGGTTGTCCCTGGCTGCCATGGTTTCGCATGATTTTTTTGTCCAGCATTGGCATCAGAATACAAATTTTGTGGTTTCTGCATTTGAGAAATGCAAATGATATATCAGTTACTCCAAAATTCTGCAAGAAATTTATGTAAGCCATTGGTATACCCTGGTACCTGTTTTTGGTGCATTTAAAATATAGTGTAATGGTGTTTTGAAATCCGTAGTTAGAAGATGTTAACAAATTCAAATTAAAGCAAAATTTTCAAACTTAGACCATATACATATATATTAAGTGGGACTTAATGATAATACAGATTCTTATAAAGGAGAAAAGTATACAGTATGACCTAGATAAATAGGTTTATACATCTTTCCATATTACAAATATTTCGGTAAAGTAGAAATGTATACAGTGAGACCCAATAAGAGGTTTTGTTTATTAAAAATATTTGTATGTTTATTGTTGATTATGATGCTGTAGTACCAATATCATTGTACAAAATGTGACTATTTTATACTGTTTTAAAATTAAGTGTTGTGATACGAAAATAAATTATCAAGCAAAATTGAACTTTTGTATTTTCCTTGTTTTAACCCACCAGTATCAGATGGTGGGTAATTCAATCTCATTGGTCCCTTGTTATGCATGTCTCATTTTTTGACTGACTGGGATACTCGACAGTTCTTTCTCACATTCATATGCAGATTCCCCTTGGTCCATAGTTGTACATGTTTCATATAAGATTGATGACAAAAACAAGATGACCACCAGACATCAATCTTGGTTTTTAGAACTTCTAGTTTATATCTTGACAGATCTTTCTCATATTCCATATTTAGGGTTCCCCTTGGTCCATTATTGTCCATATTTCATTTTGTGACTGATCAGAAAATAAGATGGACCCAAGGACGCCAACTTGTACTCATATATATGATAAATGTACAAAGTGTACTTCTTCATTTAATAAATAGTCAGACAAACCTTCGTCAGAAGTCAAGAAAACGTTGTCAGTGGTCAGAAAAACCTTTGTCAGTAGCCAGGGAAACCTTTGTCAGTAGTCAGGAAAACCTTTGTCAGCAGTTAAGAAAACCTTTTTCGGTATTCGGGGAAACCTTGGCAGTAGTCGGGGAAACCTTGGCAGTAGTCAGGGAAACCCTTGTCAGTAGTCGGGGAAACCGTTTTCAGTAGTTAAGAAAACCATGTCAGTAGTCAGGGAAACCTTTGGCAGTAGTCAGGGACACCTTTGTCAGAAGCCAGGAAAACCTTGGCAGTAGTCAGAAAAACCTTTGTCAGTGGTCAGGGAAACCTGTCAGCAGTCAGGAAAACCTTTGTCAGTAGTCAGGAAAACCTTGTCAGTAGTCAGGAAAACCATTGTCAGTAGTCAGGAAAACCTTTGTCAGAAGCCAGGGAAACCTGGGTAGTAGGCAGGGAAACTTTTGTCAGTAGGCAGGGAAACCTTTTTCAGAAGTCAGGGAAACCTTTGTCAGTAGTCAGGCAAACCTTTGTTAGTAGTCAGGGAAACATTAGTCAGTAGCCCAGAAAACCTTTGTCAGTAGTCAGGTAAACCTTTGTCAGTAGCCAAGAAAACCTTTGTCATTAGTCAGGGAAACCTTTGTCAGAAGTCGGGGAATCTCTTGTCAGTAGTCAGGAAAACGTTTGTCAGCAGTTAAGAAAACCTTTTTCGGGAGTCGGGGAAACCTTTGTTAGTGGTCAGGGAAAAAATTGTCAGTAGCCCAGAAAACCTTTGTGAGTAGTCAGGAAAACGTTTGTCAGCAGTTAAGAAAACCTTTGTCAACCTGGGTAGTAGGCAGGGAAACCCTTTTCAGTAGTTAAGAAAACCATGTCAGTAGTCGGGGTAGCCTTTGTCAGTAATCAGGGAATCCCTTGTCAGTAATTAAGAAAAACTTTGTTAGTAGTTAAGAAAACCTTTGTCTGTAGGCAGCGAAACCTTTGTCAGTAGGCAGGGAAACTTTTGTTAGTAGGCAGGGAAAATTTTGTCAGTAGGCAGGGAAACTTACAAAGTGTACTTCTTCATTTAATAAATAGTCAGACAAACCTTCGTCAGAAGTCAAGAAAACGTTGTCAGTGGTCAGGGAAACCTGTCAGCAGTCAGGAAAACCTTATCAGTAGTCAGGCAAACCTTTGTTAGTAGTCTGGGAAACATAAGTCAATAGCCAAGAAAACCTTTCTCAGTAGTCAGAAGCCAGGGAAACCTTGGCAGTAGTCAGGTAAACCCTTGTCAGTAATTAAGAAAAACTTTGTTAGTAGTTAAGAAAACCTTTGTCTGTAGGCAGCGAAACCTTTGTCAGAATTTAAGAAAACCTTTTTCGTTAGTCGGGTAAACCTTTGTCACAAGTTTGTCAGTAGTCAGGCAGGGACACCTTAGCAGTAATCAGGGAAGCCTATGTGGATTATGAGGGAAACCATTGTCAGTAGTCGTGGTAACCTTTGTCTGTAGGCAGCGAAACCTTTGTCAGTATTAAGGGAAACCCTTGTCAGAAGTCAGGGAAACCTTTGGCAGTACCCAAGAAAACCTTTGTCAACCTGGGTAGTAGGCAGGGAAAATTTTGTCAGTAGGCAGGGAAACCGTTGTCAGTAATTAAGAAAATATTTGTCAGTAGTTAAGAAAACCATGTCAGGAGTCAGGGAAACCGTTTTGAGTAGTCGGGGAAACCCTTGTGAGTAGTTGGGGAAACCGTTTTCAGTAGTCAGGGAAACATAAGTCAGTAGCCAAGAAATCCTTTGTCATTAGTCAGAAGCCAGGGAAACCTTGGCAGTAGTCGGGGAAACCTTGGCAGTAGTCGGGGAAACCCTTGTCAGGAGTCAGGAAAACCTTATCAGTAGTCAGGCAAACCTTTGTTAGTAGTTAAGAAAACCATGTCAGGAGTCAGGGAAACCCTTGGCAGTAATTAAGAAAACCTTTGTCATTAGCCAGGGAAACCTTTGTCAGATGCCAGGGAAACCTATGTCAATTATGAGGGAAACCATTGTCAGTAGTCAGGTCAACCTTTGTCAGTAGGCAGGGAAACTTTTGTTAGTAGGCAGGGAAAATTTTGTCAGTAGGCAGGTAAACCTTTGTCAGAATTTAAGAAAACCTTTTTCAGTATTTTAGAAACCCTTTTTCGGTAGTCGTGGAAACCTTTGTCAGAATTTAAGAAAACCTTTTTCGGTAGTCGGGTAAACCTTTGTCACAAGTCAAGGAAACCTTTGTCCATAGTCAGGGGTAAAACCTTTGTCAGAATTTAAGAAAACCTTTTTCGGTAGTCGTGGAAACCTTTGTCAGTAGCCAGGGAAACCTTTGTTTGTAGTCAGGGAAACCTATGTCAGGTTAGTAGTCAGGGAAACATTAGTCCGTAGCCAAGAAACCCTTTGTCAGTAGCCAGGGAAACCTTTGTTTGTAGTCAGGGAAACCTTTTTTCAGAAGTCAGGGAAACCGGTGTCGGTAGCCAGGGCAATCCTTGTCTTTGTCAGTAGTCAGGCACACCTTTGTTAGTAGTTAAGAAAACCTTTTTCGGGAGTCGGGGAAACCTTGGCAGTAGTCGGGGAAACCTTTGTCAGAAGCCAGGGACACCTTAGCAATAATCAGGGAAGCCTATGTGAATTATGAGGGAAACCATTGTCAGTAGTCGGGGTAACCTTTGTCAGTAATCAGGGAAACCCTTGTCAGTAATTAAGAAAAACTTTGTCAGTAGTTAAGAAAACCTTTGTCAGTAGTCAGCGAAACCTTTGTCAGAAGTCAGAGAAACCTTTGTCAGAAGTCAGGGAAACCCGTGTCGGTAGCCAAGGCAATCCTTGTCAGTAGTCAGGGAAACCTTTGTCAGTATTTAAGAAAACCTTTTTCGGTAGTCGGGTAAACCTTTGTCAGAAGTCAGGGAAACCCTTGTCAGGAGTCAGGGAAACCGTTTTGAGTAGTCGGGGAAACCTTTGTTAGTGGTCAGGGAAAAAATTGTCAGTAGCAAGAAAACCTTTGTCAGTAGTCAGGGAAACCTTTGTCAGTAGCCAAGAAAACCTTTGTCAGTAGTCAGAAAAACTTTTGTCAGAAGCAAGGGACACCTTAGCAGTAGTCAGAGAAACCTTTGTCAGATGCCAGGGAAACCTATGTCAGTTATGAGGGAAACCATTGTCAGTAGTCGGGGTAACCTTTGTCAGTATTCATGGAAACCCTTGTCAGTAATTAAGAAAATCTTTGTCAGTAGTTAAGAAAACCTTTGTCAGTAGTCAGCGAAACCTTTGTCAGAAGGCAGAGAAACCTTTGTCAGAAGTCAGGGAAACCCGTGTCGGTAGCCAAGGCAATCCTTCTCTGTAGTCAGGGAAACCTTTGTCAGAAGTCAGGGAACCCCTTGCTAGTAGTCAAGAAAACCTTTGTCAGTAGTCAGGAAAACCTTTGTCAGAAATCAGGGAAACCTTGGTAGTAGGCAGGGAAACCTTTGTCAGTAGTCAGGGAAACCCTTGTCAGATGTCAGGGAAACCTTTTTCCAGAAGTCAGGGAAACCTTTGTCAGAAGTCAGGGAACCCCTTGTTAGTAGTCAAGAAAACCTTTGTCAGTAGTCAGGGAAACCTTTGTTTGTAGTCAGGGAAACCTTTGTTAGTAGTCGGGGAGGGGGGAACCTTTGTCAGTAGTTGGGGGTAAACCTTTGTTAGTAGTCAGGCAAACCTTTAATAGTAGGCAGGTAAACCTTTGTCATAAGTCAAGGAAATTTCTGTCCGTAGTCAGGTAAACCTTTGTCACAAGTCAAGGAAACCTTTGTCCATAGTCAGGTAATCTAACCTTTGTCAGAAGTCAAGGAAACCTTCATGTACAAATGGACGGACTGACAATATTATTCATGTATGCATCACCCTCTAGGGTCTGTGTGATTGTAAACATGGTAACAAACGTGTTGTCATGTACTACATGCACAACTAAGTAATACCGTAGATATCTCTTTTTTTGTGTAAGCACAATCTGATTTAAATCATATGTTACATGGCTTCGTTAACTTCGTACTACGAAGCCATGTAACAGATGATTTTAATCAGATTGGTGCAAGTATTGTCTGTATTTGACAGTAGGTACATGTACGTGGGCTTGGCCGTGGCCAGACTATGAACTGATGTCGTTTTATGAATGTCATTCAGAATATCAAACTCCCCGATATATATTTATTGTTGTTTTATGACGGACAATCATGAGGTAGCAGTGTACAGTAGCGGACGGTGACCATGGGTGATATTTGTGTACAATGAATAACCCATGTAATATTACATGTATCAACATTTAAAAGAAAATCAGCACTAAAATTGGCATATACATGATGAAGTAGACTATGTGGGCTTCACATTTAAAAAAAAAAATCGAATTTGGTTTGAGACTGCATTTTTGACATTTGCAAATCTGTCTATACACAACAAAAGCTAGCTTTTCATGTAGTCTATTTTTGTACTCAGCACATGTGTAAATATTGTGAAAAATCCAGTTGAACGACCTATGCTAAAACGTGAGTATTTTTGTTACCGAGTAGGTGATATTCAATTTAAGACGGGTTTTAAGAAAAAAATACTACTTACGTGGGTCAAAGTTTGGGTTAAAAATCATGGGTTTTTTTGCATTTTTTGGCGTTTTTTGATGCGGTAACCATGGTTTTCACAAGTCCCAAATATTGGGAAATCCCTTTCCGGAAAAAAACCATTCTTCTAAAAAAATGTATTCAAAATGTAGTTTATAAATATGTATATATATATATGTAGGTGTTGTGCAAGATGAATCCGCTATCCATGTTTATCTGAGACATGCCCCTTATTTTTAGGATCAAGGTATTTCTACTTTACTCTGCTACCTAAGAATCTACTCATGCTTATGCAGTATAAACAAGCTAAACATGTCCGAAAAATAGTATACGATTGTCGAGGTGTGTTTGTGTGTAATAGTAGATACACATTTCATTAATTCACTTTTTCTCGATAGTTCACTCGGTATGGTTTAAGAAGTAAGATGACACATTCTACTACACCCAGGCTTATAACAATAGATCAAAGCTGAAACATATCCATATAATGTATCACAATAAGTTCAACTCAAACTCAGATATCATGGCCGTGACCAGACTATGAACTGATGTCGTTCAGAATATAAAATGATCTGATATATATCTATTGTCGTTTTATGACGGACAATCATGTACAAAAATATATACAAAAATGTTAACATGTACAAAAATATATACAAAAATGTAAACATGTACAAAAATGTAAACATGTACAAAAATATATACAAAGATGTAAACATGTACAAAAATATATGCAAAAATGTAAATATGTACAAAAATATATACAATAATGTAAACATGTACAAAAATATATACAAAGATGTAAACATGTACAAAAATACATGCAAGAATGTAAACATGTACAAAAATATATACAAAAATGTACAAAAATATATACAAGATTTTCAAGTTGGATTTGTGTGTAAATCAAGAATAGTATAAAGCTTTTATTCATGTTTATCGATAGGTCACTCTTAGTAAATTTTGAAAATTAAGATGAAACTTTTTACTACACACAGGCTAATAACAATGGATTTATATACATGCTAATAACAATGGATTTATACACAGGCTAATAGCAATGGATTGATGCCAAAAACCATCCACAATCAAAACTAACAAAATGCGTTCAACTCAAATTCAAATATAAAATAATAGTTGCACAAATAAACCAATTTTTTGGTTTTGATCAATATTGACAGTACTGGTGTGGTTTTATCACATATACCGGTATTCTGCTGCACTGCATATAACAGAGCAATTCTTTGTTTGGCATTGGGAATGATGGCAATATATCAGATGTAACCAAGTGCATACCTCGTAAAGAATAGATTAAGGTGTAAACACAAAAAAAATCATATATAATTCGTGAAGTTTTAATCCTGGTGACTTTGTATCTTTTCAGCACAAGCTTATTTCAAAGGTGAATGTTGTTGTTGCTAATTTCTTTCGATCTGTTTAGAGGAAATGTAATAAAAAAAAATGAGTAAAACAAATTTCAAATGGGCATGACAGGTAGGCATAGCTATTTTCCTAAAAGTCTCGTTCGCTTACTTGCGCGTACTATAAATGATTTGCCTCCAGCGACTATGACATGGTGTCTCTGAAATTGCCACTTCGTATATTACGATAAAATAGATAACAACTAATTCAGGCCTTAAGTGGTCTTCGCTTATTATTGTTTTTGGACATTGTCTAACCATCTTTATACATTCTGTATTTATATACAGACATATATTACTTTAACAGTACCAGAACAGTGTATGCTAACTTAGAGAAGTTGAGAGTGGTGTGTTAGTGCTATCCAATTGAGCGTTTACATGCTGACATTTACACATTATTTACCTGTATGCTAATGACAAATTAAAACAGGATTGCGTCGACCTACCGTTCATACCAAGGACAACGCGTGGATGCAAATAATATTTACTTTAAATGTAGCAAAAGTGCTGCATGCATATACATGTATACAAAATGTAAATGAACTATTATTTGGTTACAGCTTGTGAAATTCCTTTTATTACCTCTCACATTGGTAATGATATTCAGTAGGTGACATGTTATGCAAAGCTATAAATCGCATATAGTTTTTACTGCTGACAGTGACCTTTTGAGCATTGTTTACGACATAACGTATTTGTTAGCCTCATAATCGGACACTTGGTCATTTAAATAAGTCCTTGCGTAATTCACAAGATATAGATAATTTTAAATTTTTATTTAGTACAAAATAATCTAACGTCAAGCTACCACAATTGGTACTATTTTGACAGTTTTTCATTGATATTTAAAAATTCAGATCTTGTATCTGGAATGTTTCTTGATTCTTGACAAAGACTACCTATGGTGGTTCATTTTCAGAAAATATTTAAATTATAAGTAATTTGTTTTTGAAAATAGAACGTTAAACTCGCAGTGAGATTTCGGCCGTTTTCGGCCGTGATTAGGACCCGAATTGGCACACCACATCACAGGCTATGAAACTTGTTTTTATTTCTACTAGTTGATGTGTCGATTGCAACAAAATATATTGCTTTTATAAATACCATACGGAACTATAATTGTATATATAAACTTTTATATTACCCAGTCATAAGGACCAGAAATCAACATTTAAACATGCTTATATTTAACCCCTTTAAAATCCTCCAAAATGTCGTCGACGTACGTCGTTTTGCCATGTTTATTTTGAAGTCATCGTGTACCGAAATATTCCTGAAAACAAAACTGTTCGGTGGAAATGCTGATAAATATCTCCTTTGTTATATTGTAAAAGGGAAATGCTAACATTTAATTTTAAAGTACAATACGAACCATTTTCTGACCGTGTACCAATTTGGGTAGGGTACCAATTGTGGTAGCTCGCATATAAACAACCCGCTCACAGCTACCATCCAATTTATTTTGTCCGTACATATTTGATATATATTTGTGCACCATGTTTATGAGTCAATCCTCATATTTGTCTACAGTAAGCAAACACTATCAGTACAAATCAATCAATAGTTTCCACTGAATGACATATTACAAAGACATCCGTGACAATAACCTACATGCTCATAGACTGACCATAGCCAAATCCTCTTAACTATTATTAAAACAATCGATGATTGTAAGATAGGAGACTTGAAACATTGAACATCTTACAGGACAGCATGTTAGTTACCATTTCAGAATTAAACTACCTTTTAATGTTCATACCGGCATAGAAATTAAAGAATTTACCTTGTATCTTCGATATAGAAGTGTCTGTACTGCCAGTGCTAACGAGATTCCTAGAACAGCCTAACATCACCAAAATTTTTGCTTCTAACAATTGTCTCACAATATGGAGATGAAAGGAAAAGCTTAAAAATGACGCTGATCAAATCGCGGTCATATCTCTATGAACGCAGTTTCTTCTGGTAATTAATGCTTATGAAGGAACTTGCAGAAGAAATGTAGATATTTTTGCATGGAACGGAAAGGATACACTGGAGGCTCATTTCAATCTATTTGGTCTTATGTTGAGATAAACATTCTCTCCTAGTACTGTATGTTACTATGGCTACAGCGCTATTGCGACGCCATTATAACCAGTGACACCAGAAGGAGCGACGAGGTTAAGAAGAACAATAGACATATAGGGAAATTGAACGCACAAGAGGACATCACTTGATTAGAAAAGGAAACAAATCTTAGATCCTCAAGCAGGCAAGATGGCCGAATGTTTATACATTTTTTCACGATTTAATCAAGTTGTCTGACACTTTCTGATTACCAATCAGTTTTCCCGAATGCTATATTTCATCGCCTAACTTAAGCTATTCTCTGTTATGTGTCAAATTCGATTATCCTAAATAAAAAAATAAACTTCATAATAATTCAGAAATAAAAGTGCGAAATATGAAAAAAAGAACACACTGAGGATATTATTTTTAACAATGATGAAAAGCCTTTTTATAATAACTCTTTCGGGGAGGAAACATAATTGCTATGAAGTTCACCAAAAATGTTTTTTTATTTTGGTTTAATTCATATGTATTTCGAATAATATTAAACAATGAGTATTGATATCTTATCATATTTATGACATACATAGTATATGAGTGTGTAACATTGTATTGGAAACAAGTTAAACAGTTATCAAGAGTGCTGCATATCCTGAAGAAGGGTACAATGATTACAAAATTTGGTTTCAAGTAGCTCTAGACTATTGATTTTGGGGACAAAAAAGGGGAACATGAGGAAAAAAATGTAGAAAAATCTTTAAGAGACAACTCAGGAGATGAAAAAATGCGCGAATGTTACTTTTGAATAGTTGAGAGAGAGGAGTGTATTTTAATCCATTTGAGTTTTACATGTTGATATTAAAACGTCATTTGAAATCACTCGCCTGTGTGCTAATGACAAATCCAAACAAGATAACATCTGAATGATATCGAGCGTTGACCCGTGTTTACACCGAGGCCACCACTTTTATAAAAATAATATTTATTTCAAATGTAACAAAAATACAGTGTGTATATATAATACTTGTAAATACAAATTAAATGAACAATGACTTGTTTGCGACAGATGAAATCCTATTTTGTTACCTTACACATTGATAATGTTATTCTGAAGGTGACATGCTATGTAATGTTATAAATCACTCTTAGCTTATAATACAAATACTGGCCACTTCAACAGTCATAATAACGACATAACACCTTTCCCATTATCATAACAGGACAGTTGGTAGGGTTCCCATGTATTCTTCTGAGACAGGTATTGTCCTAATCAACTGGGTCACGTATACTGATCATGAGCAAGTCTGATGTGTCGACACGGTCTTACGTTGTCATGCCTGACTGAGCAATGTGATGACGTCAATTGCCGCGGCCGAAGTCTCCAGAACTGGTGCGACGGCCTGACAAGAAATTACAACAAATACAGGACTTGAACTGATGCTGTGAATTGGACTTAAACAGGAGGTGTAGTGGCGGACGACCATACTTTTGCTGTGGAAATATTGTTTGAAAATAGAACATTCAGTCTGGCTTTCTGATAACTGACCAAACTATTACAGGTTGGTACACATTATTTGTATGCGTCATTAATTGAAGATAGTATACTTGCCGTGTCACCATAATATAAAACAAGTCGTGATTGTAAGATGCTATTTTTGATACATATGTTTATTTGTGTACTGATATAGTTATGACATATGATAAAACACCGTGACTAGAACACAATTATTTGTTAATTACACTAATAAGGACACATTTTATGTATTCCTCTTGTATGCTTGCCCACATCAAGCATTCAACAATAAGTAACACATCTAATAGCTTTCGCAAGTTAATTGCATACTAATGATGTTCGCATTAAATGACATTCGTTCCTTTTGCTTCAACTTTCGTTCAGAAGTATGCATGCATTTCTGAAGCTAAATCAATGTCGTTGGAGCTTCTTGCACATGTAAAGATAAAAGTAAACTTCAGCGATCCGGGGATGTGCAGAGAAGTGTGGTTTATGACTCACGCCAACAAATATTTACAGACAAACAAGTATTTAATGAGAACAATCTACGTATTGATCAGGAATGTATGCCCCTGATAACATATAAATAAACAAACCTGAATAATGAGTCGTATACATTTTACTTTACCGTTACTTAAACTTATACAAAGTAATATTGCGTAAATATCAGTTAATCTCGAGGTTATCAACGTTATTGATACTTAATGTTTGTATGTCAATTTACCAAACACACTACACACTGTATGTGAGTGTCCGTCCACAAAGTGTCAACCCGATACATTACCACTCTGACAATTAGCAGATATGAAATATTTACACTAAGATAATTTCATTTACGCAAACGGCACGCCAAATAATATCTGTGTTGTACTCGTATCGTGTGGCCACACCACGTTGCTTACATTAGTGGACATGTAAAATATTTGCAATAGTAACCTTTGTACGATCAGTATGCTTTCATTACCAATTTTGCATCGCTTTTGATTTTGTAAAGTCGTGCTATATAGATACAATTATGCTCAGTTTAATGATTAGTTAGACGCAGTAAAATTCTGCATACCTTAAATCGAAGTAAACGGTAGTTAGCAACACTCAAAGGTCATAATTAATGTAAAATTACCATATACACAATGAATGTCATCACAATAATTTACATCGAATTTTCTCTCTATCTCCGCCGATGATAAATTTTGCGTTTCAATATAAATTTGATATCGAAGTTGAGAAAATGTATCATTGATAGACTTATATCCAATCCAGAGATTATTCTTAAAACGAATATATTACACATGCGAATAAACTCAGTGAATAAGATATTAATCATAATATATCGTTACTTGTTCTTTGTTAAGTATGTATATTCTTTGTTATATATACCAACATACTGTAAAACTGGATTTATTTGCGGTATCATAATGTTCGCGTTTTCCGCGTTGCGTAAATTAATACAAAAATATGCACACATGAACATATTTATTATGTGAGATAAAAAGGAAAAAATCGTTTCAGAACCAATGCCATCGCGATTAGTTCAAGAGGTCACACCGCGGAATTTTTCTCGCGCAAAATTTTCACTTTAACAGCAATTTGGAACTAAATCCAGTTTCGTGTTATCGACACAGCATTGTTTTCATCTAACAAGTGGTTAACACAACGCATAAACATTAATTATGTGTATCACACCAGATGTAAGACATGAATTACACACATAATTTGGCCCTTAAAATGATTTTTTTTTTCATTTTATGTGCAAAAATACTAATTGTGTCGGTGAATGAACTTATTAAACATCTTCACGCGGTATGGTTTCTTGTCTACTTTTGCAATAATTCAATAATCTTCCATTTCAAATGACATGTATTGATTCCGTAAATAATTTACTTCATACATAAGTCTGGTGGCAACATTGGAACCACATATACAGAAACACAATATAGTGAGTGTTTGTCCCAGAAAATGTCGAGTATTAAAGAAATTTGCATACTGTTTGTCTATGTATATAAGTATATAAGCAAACTGAACCAACAGAATGCATTACGCTAAATTATGATAACGAACGTGAATAACTTTTCATTACATCAGCTTAGCGTTTAGTAGGGGCGTTACTTGTCTTAGTCAGTTTCCGGGAGACCGCGACAGTTACACGTGATCTGTGACCTTGTGACGCACGTGACGGCATTGATGAGACAGTGTTTACATCCTGACTTCGACCTTTATTTGATAAATGTCATATTGATTTATTCTCTTGATATCATAGACCTGTACTTACCTGTATATTACTGAACCAACGCTTAGTTACACTGCTTGCCCATATTACTTATGTTATCTAACATAATTAGAACAGTAGTTATCAAGTGATCCTTCACTTTAAACAAAGCCTGTTTTTGTAATAATGACAGGTAATTTATCACCATCATGTCAATATACTTTTAATTTAGTAACGTTCCGCTAACATAAGTTCAACTTTTTAAAAACCTGGATGAATGTTTACGAGATAAGGAGAAAGACTGTAGCAATAATATCAGCACACACAATTATCTGTAATCGTTGTTAAAGATAAAAAATAATGTCGTCGACGATTAAAAGACATTTTCTCTTCAATCAATTATTATTATTAAATAATATATCAATGGATATTAATTATAACTCAGTTCAAATATTGTAATGGATTTGTCATCGTTGTTATTATACAATTATCTTAAAACAAAGATTAAAAAACCACAACGTTGAAGATTACGATGCTTAATCGATCTATTGTTTTTATTAAATCATGAATTTAGGCATCATTATTTCACCGATCATACGTGTCTTTTCGCCTGCCAATCAAACTGTCACTGATGACATTTACGTGTTTGTAATTTGTATACAGGAACAATACAAAGGCTGTGCTATCAGGATGTAAACATAAGTTTAATTCACATTAACTAAACACGGAAACACAAAGGCACCTCTAATTGAGAATGAATTAAATAAGTTATTATAAAGCAATATGAAGATATTAATAACACTGATAGAAATTGGACATCCGGAAACCTGTGTGAAGTAAATAAAGTGAATAAAATCCTGTGAATAATTTGAGCTACCGTATCCACTTTAAGGGTGTAATAATTTACAGATGTTTCAATTGATTTTCTTAGATTGTTGTTTTTGTTATAAAAGTGTCATTTTAGATCTTTGGAGCCATATATTTTAATGCAAATGCACTAGTTTTCATTTAATGAAAAATCTATGCATTAATGAGATATTTAAAGGGTCAAAGGTCAACTGTTAATTAAAGTGTCAAATGCAGGGAAGATATCGTACAACATCATATCATCGGACCAAAACTAGCCACGTGACAAAAGTAGACTGCAACTATTTAAAAACGACAACAAAGTCATGATCGATCATCTTGAAATCGTTTTCTAAACCTCAAAAATTCAATAAAACGACATCAAGTACATACCAATGATTTATCATTACTTTCAAGGTTAAATACTTACGTATTACTAAAATCATAACAAGAGTTGAACGAGAGTAAACTGAATTGAACAGCAGAGTTTTAGCATCTAACAAATACAGAACCAACTGTTGAATCGTTATAACTCTACTGTGTTTACTCCTATTCGGGACACCAAAGAGACCAAACATGATCTTCAACTTCCTGAGCAACACATGGAATGTGTTTCTCTCATCGTTATGTTTGTATTTTAGATGCTCATTAGTGAAATGCAATAAAAAAAATCAGAATAATGTGACCGGTTGATAGGCCGTACCTCTACTGCACAACTTATGTAAAATGGCACTTTAATGTGGGAAAATGAGCTTTCACATTCCATATAGATAAATATGTTATATAACCTTTTACCAGTACATTGATATGCTATAGGATATTATATTATACATGTAATATGCATAAAGATATCAATTTCACGGGGGGGGGGGGGGGGGGGGGGGGGNCATGCAACAACACTTGTCAATTGAACGTGATCGTGCAAATAGATCTGTTTATGGCGTCACTCAGAATGGGTAAAAGACCTGATGTCAAATTTCATCGGAAAGGTGTCCAACGGTACTGTGACAAGTGGAGGGATTCACTTAACTATCTATATAGGTAAACAAATCTGTATAGTGTATTTGAATGGACTTGAGGCATCTGTCGATCAGAACCAAGCGTTGATGCAGGAAGAAAGATGCATTACCGTCCAGATATAAACACTACCACGTACAGTGTCCTTAATTGAACACATGATGAATAGTTCAAGGCGGAATCTTGGATGAGACATGATGAGTCAGTTACACAGTTTCATTCCGTAGTCCCCGCGTTGACTGGATCATGAGAAAGTCTACTACAAATAAACCAAGAGGCATTTAAACAACTGGGAGAGACTTTGTGAAGGATTTTTTCAATCTGGGAATAAAAGATCATTAGCATAAATAATGGAACACACAAAGACATCAGAACAAGATTTGGCGAAGCTAATTGCGCATGTGCCGACTTCTTCCTATCTGGAAGCCATACCATTAAAGTTTGAAGACAAGTATTTGGCCATTCAAATCTGTGGACTCTTGGCGTAACAGGAAACTCGCCAATATGGCACAGGAATATAAGCTTATCGCTTTGTTGGGTAGCCCAAGACAACTCTAAGTGGAGAACGACTGATTCGGCCTTACGTTTCACAGAGGATAACGAGGATGGATAATGAAATACCAGGGCCCACTTGTATAAAACATCTCAACTCTTGAGATTACCTCAATTCTAAGATTTCCCATAGACAATACATTGCTTGAGATTTTCCTTAACTTTGAGATATTTTATACAAGTGGGCCCAGGGCATTAACACGTAAAAACAATACCAAAACTCAAAAGGAAATAGAAAAACATGAAAATCGTGATGGGGCATACAATAAAATATTAAAACAAAATCTTGATTAAAACGTCAATATTGTTTATTATACTCTCCAAAGATCCTAATGACAACAGGAACAAGTATTGTAACTTACACCCCCAAGATACATTAATGCAGTTGTCAAATAACATATCATATAGCAGCGTCCTTAAATAACCTTAAATGTTGTTCGAACGTCACACCAATAACCAACCAACAGTCAACAATTACCATAAAGAAACCTTCTTGGTTGGATATCATCACCGAGTTATGAAGTTAACTGGACATCATTAGCGGTAAACATTGACGAAGGCAGACGTTGGTAGTGTTTACATCTTGGTGAGATCACTCAGACATAGAATACGGTTGAAGGTCGGTGGTGTTGACAGGCCTACGGCTCTGATCTGATCTGACACCGTGTGATGTTCAGGGCACACGACCCTCGTTAGCTATGTCTTTGAAGAATATCTGCTGTTTTGCATATTTATGTAGAGACATCTCTTCTTAAATGGGTACAAATATATGTATTGACAATGTATGTCTTGTAAGGGGAGGTAAACAGATACGGGACGTACACCACGACGTGTCGAAGTATCGTGTTCAAATACCAAAGACGTCTTAATTATGACCTTGAAGGTCAACTCTAATGGTAATAACGCCTGAAGATGTCCGAGCTGAGTAGGAAAGATGTGTTTACAACATGAAATTGTATTTAACTCGGAACAGTGATGTTGTGTCAATACAGACACGAATGCACGTGAGGCTATGAAAGATGAACGCAACACACACATAAGTAATTGCACTTTTCAAATTTGGTAATAAATAGTTTGCCAAAATAAATTACGCTGCGTCGTACAGTTATTTAATAACCCTGTCATCACTTTACGATAAATAATGATCATTTATTCGCATCAGAAAAGTATGAAATGCAATTTTGATTTCCTTGTGTATGTGTATTGATCAAGCTTGGATTATAATCAACGATAATAATTTATAAATTGGTATGAAAGAGCTTTTATTCGTGCAGCGAAACTTGGCTAACCGTTGGTAAAAAAAATTAAGAAGAATAATTAGTGACCATTTGCTCTCAAAGGCTTCCTTAATGCACACGTATATGAGTATAATTGTGTCCCAGGCTGGCTATAACCTTCCTGTGGATGTGAAAAATGGAAGGTTTTGGTACAGATATGAATAATGACATGAAAACAACGAGCCCCTTGTAACGTGATGATGAAAGACACATTATGTTATAAATCACCACCAACTTACCGGTAAAAGGCAGTTTAGCTTCAACAAGAATCCAATTAAGGACGCGCTGTATATAACAATTAGCTCAATTAGTATCACGTACGTCGCGGGACAGTCTCCATACCTGTGTACATACGACAGTCATTTGTACATCAGGGCTTGTTTATTGAAAACACGAATACCTTTGGGAATACGATGACAATAAAGGTCCCAGGTTTATGTTTTCCAAGGTAAATTCAATTAAAACAGTTAATATTGTTTGTCGTAAGTTTCATTTGGGTCGAATGTTACTTAAGGCTATTGAAAACATTTTAAAAATCATAATTCGTCGATCCTAAAATCCGTTACAGGATCAAGTCTACTCACGAGCTACCTAAAACAAGTATTTAACATGGAAAGGTACATATAACACAACATATAAATAATTGTATAGCAGCAATCAAATTCTTATTTTTAGCTCACCTGGCCCGAAGGTCAAGCTTATGGCATGGTGCGGCGTCCGTCGTCCGTCCGTCGTCCGTCCGGCGTCAACTTTTTATTCTAAACACCTTCTCAGTAACCAAAAGGCCTAGGGTGATGATACTTGGCCAGAAGCATGCTGGGATGAAGGATCAAGTTTGTTCAAATAAATGATCTTGACTTATTTTCAAGATCACATAGGTCAAATATGTTTAAAACCTGAAAACACTGATATTCTGCCTGTAGTTGTATTTTAGTCCACTTTTAAGATTACAAGTGAGAGATTAATACCAGGTGGGCGATTCAGGCCCATTGGGCCTCTTGTTATATATGACATTGCATATGGACAATGATTTAAACATACAACGTACATTCATACATATATATAACTACAAATCTTAAGTGAAAACTAACATATTTTCCGGTGTTTGAACATTAAGAACGATCATGTCAACCTGACTAATACCAGGTGGGCGATTCAGGCCCGTTGGGCCTCTTGTTATATATGACATTGCATATGGACAATGATTTAAACATACAACGTACATTCATACATTTATATAACTACAAATCTTAAGTGAAAACTAACATATTTCCCGGTGTTTGAACATTAAGAACGATCATGTCAACCTGACACTTATATATGTACCGGGATATATGTGTATCTACCTGCAGGCTTCACTCAATACACACAACTTTGTGCAATGGTGAGTGATGTACCTTGTCTGCTAATTGATTCCGTTACTTCATACACTATAATATACACAGGTAAAGTATTAGGCTCGCTGCGGGCCTTCACCAAGACCGATGGTACGTGTAGTTAAACAGATCCAGGGCTCCTACGTAACAACATCACCGTTAACCTGGTAAAAGCCGGTCAGTGATACTCGTGTCGGTGTCAGACTATTTAGGGGCAACGTATTGATACACAATAACAGGTTGGTGTTTATTTTTTACCAAAAACGTTAATTGTGTAAACAGACGGAGTTTAGCTTCAAGCATTCGGATATGACGGAAGAAGTTATGTTTTGATTGCATTTGTCGATGTTGATTACATACTTCGATACCATATATAACCTGTGCCCTGTCTTTTTGTAACATTTTAAATTCCACTGCTTACAGATATTGCCACATCAGACTATGGCCAACACGAACACCACGCCTGTTCGTCGTCGAAGTAGTGACGGACTTTTGGACACAGCGGACACCTTAGTAGACAGGTTGGATGAACTTGCAGATATACTGAAATCGGTAGAAGACGAGTACGTGAAGGTACGTACTCCACAGGTAAATACGTTTATATGAATCTGTCCAGTAGAATTAGATGTATAGCTTCTTATAACTTCTTATAGTTGCATGATATACTAAAAGATATATACTAGTATAATATGTAGCTCTAGTTGTACTTAGTGTTAGTTAGCCGTGCCCCGGCGAGCTTGAATAGTCCTTTTAACGCAAGTGCATATCATTCTTTTTCCAGTGATGTTGTTCATTATAAACGAATGTGTGTAAATAGACAGATTAAAGTATATTGAATGTATAATGCAACATTCTTTTTCGGTCACTCCGACTAACATCTGGCTTCTTTAGCCTGTGCCTTGGCCCATATGCGTTAGCTACTTCTAGTTGCTCTTGCTTTTGCTGATGAACCTTGGAGCAAATTTGTCTTTTCCTTATATTTGGGTGGGAAAACCATCATGGTTATATACTAAAAATACAATAATAATCACATAGAAAAAAATCCTGAGAAATTGATTAAAATAGATATGTCATGATTGCATTTATTGAATGTATATTTCCCCATCTCAAAACCAAAACGGAAGTGAAAATAAATTTAATGTTCTGTAGTAGCATTACCAACCGATGTCATGTTAAGAAACTCATACCAATCATAGGACGGGTGTCACGGGAAAGTATATGTTTTCCACCCGGAGGTCACCAGTCAACATGTTATGTATGAAAAATAACATTATCTGCGAATTTGATTTAGAAATGAATATCGGTTCTGTTATCATAAGGTAACTGGCCGTTGACATTCAAGGGTTATTATCATTTCCTTACATGATGTTCAATATTGATGTCGAAGATTTTATCATGGTTGACAATTAATGCTTACGTTAATATTTTGGATATCAGTCATGATATTTAGATATAAATGTAATCTTCAAATGGGAGGAAATAAAGAGAATAATAATAAGGAAAAACATTTGTTCGATTGTAATTATCGAGCTGGTTTAAGATGTATGTTTTCATGGTTTCGTGTTGCTAATGTTTGTTGATGATGTCTTATACACGTTGTATGTTTATGACATATATACTGTTTGTAAATACATGTGGATGGAGTGGCAACATTGATAGAAACCAGTATGAGGTATTTGGTTTCCATGTCAAAATACCTATCCGACATTTATCCGAAATTATATTCGATGGTCACTGCATGCAATCAGAGGCGAAACATTACTATAGAATGGTGATCTGAGATCTATTTTGACTTAAAACCATATTTCGCTCGTCAAGTTCGATCATTTTAGTCTAACAGTAATCTCAAAATCTGGAATACAATCTGTTTTCTGGGCTAATTATTTGAATACTTAAGATTTTCACATTTTTGTCATTTTATCCATTCAGTACAATTAGGCGGAATTGTTAAATACATTTGTGGTTGCGTGTCTGACACAGTCATTGTCAAAGGAGCTAAGTAACTATAGAGCTAAAACATAAAAACTCAAATAAATAAGGCCTACTCTTTTCTTTTAATAAGACATTAAACGTAATTATACGTATACATAATGTACAGATATGGTCTTACAAAGACAGTAATTAAGTAGTATGTTTATCATATATTCGCTTGTGTCATCACGACATATATTATGCGTATAATTTATACCTACTTTTCTAAAATATGTTTGCTGTATATACATAACAGTCATGTTTAATGCATTATGTACTGATCCGATAACTCAATTAAGGATAAACACAACTGTAAGACATAATATTCTTAATTAAAACTATTTTATTGCTTCATATAGGACACTTGGGTTGTTTATACCTTGAGGCCTATTTCTAAGTCATGCTTTCAACTCAGGTGTATGAATTAGCACGGTTTAGTGAAGGGTGTTTAGCAAACAAGTAATGCATTCACAAGTAATGAAATTAATGTAATGGTAATCGAATTGTGATACATATATTTTTAAGACAAAGAGTGCATAATTTATTATCTTTATGTTAACTGATGAAGGCAAATACAAACCTGTCGAGCTTTAGTGTGGCTATGATATGTTATTGTTGTTCAGTCTTACGGTATCCAAACTATTGCATTTCAATGTAAATCTAAATGTGGAGACTGAAGACTTTGTTAAAACTATATAAAAGTTAAAATGTATGAGTTAAAAAATGTCGGGCATTGTTCTACACCAGATGGAGGATGAGGACTTCGATAAACGACAAATCAACCAGACGCCGCCAGATCCTTGCGCAAGACCAAACAGTTTCAAGCGACTTAAAGAAGGACTGGAATCCGCACGAGCTCTCATCGCGTGCCTTAAGCGGGAAAAATGGCGATTGAGCAGACGCAAACAGAGCGTAGACATGAGGATGGGGGAACTGGAAGACTACAAGACTCATTTAAGACAAGATATGGTAATCATATATTTCTTCTAAAAGAGATAGCGTGTTAATCTTCGTGGCAATGTCCATTTCTAATACCAAATCTCATAAATGCAATCACGTGTGTATATGTCGTGCGCTGTTTTGTCAATGATCATTAGGATTATTCAAACATATAACAGATGTAATGGTTCAACAAAAAGAAAATCAAAATTGCATTACATACTTTTCTGATGCGAATAAATGATTGTTTTTTTCAGTCCTCCTTAAACGAAACTGTTGACATATTGAGCATGCGCGTGGTTGATTTGGAGAACCAACTTTGTGAAGGTCAAGAACGACAGGAAAGTCTGGAGTGCGAGAACGACGAGCTGTCTGCAAGATTAAATGTTACAGAATTTAACTGCAAAGGTATGCATGATCATTTGTTTGCAAGTGTCGACTGTAATTCGATCAAACACATGACAGATAGCCAAATATTCTCACAACGGAATAAACAGATTAAGTATGCCTTTTCTCAAGAAAGGTGAAAATTCCAAAATTGAACTTTTGCACCCGTTTTAACACTAGGGATCTCACTATCTACAGTTTTTCTCGATGGTATCTTCCTGGGCACCACTGGTTAGAACTTTGTCAAAATAACGTGACAGGTATGGATGTCATGCTACCGTTGTGAAGATTGTAAAATCCAAAATAAATAAATACCCCTTTGTAAAATAAGTTAAGCATCAGCATTGCGTTACATGGCTACCAGGGCAGCGCACAGTCCGGGTGGAGTTTCTGTCAAGTTTAAGTTCCGGTTTCATGTCAAAATTGGATTAAACGCATATATATATTGTCCTAATGAGGTTTTTATATGGAGGTATGATCACCTCCTGCTTCAGAATGTAGGTAGCAAAACTATTTCCATTAATTGTAAGCAATGTGACTGTAGATTTTTATAACGGGATACATTTACCTTGTGTAAGAGATCAAATTAACAGTATCCTAATTACTTTGAATAAGAGTTAGATATTTAACGAGATCGATATTATTTTTTACTGGATAAAGAGAGATCCTTACTTTGAATTAGAGTAAGATATAATGAGATCCTTACTTTGTATCAGAGTAAGATATAGAGAGATCCTTACTTTGTATCAGAGTTAGATATAGCGAGATCCTTACTTTGTATTAGAGTAAGATATAATGAGATCCTTACTTTGTATCAGAGTAAGATATAGAGAGATCCTTACTTTGTATCAGAGTTAGATAAAGCGAGATCCTTACTTTGTGTCAGAGTTACATACAGCGAGATCCTTACTTTGTATTATAGTTAGATATAGCGAGATCCTTACCTTGTATAAGAGTTACATTTAGAGAGATCCTTACTTTGTATGAGAGTTACATATAGCGAGATCCTTACTTTGTATAAAAGTTACATATAGCGAGATCCTTACTTTGTATCAGAGTTAGATATAGCGAGATCCTTACTTTGTATCAGAGTTAGATAAAGCGAGATCCTTACTTTGTATCAGAGTTAGATATAGTGAGATCCTTACTTTGTATTAGATTAAGATATAACGAGATCCTTACTTTGTCATAGAGTTGGATATAGCGAGATCCTTACTTTGTATTATAGTTAGATATAGCGAGATCCTTATTTTGTCATAGAGTTGGATATAGCGAGATCCTTACTTTGTATTATAGTTAGATATAGCGAGATCCTTACCTTGTATAAGAGTTACATTTAGAGAGATCCTTACTTTGTATGAGAGTTACATATAGCGAGATCCTTACTTTGTATAAGAGTTACATATAGCGAGATCCTTACTTTGTATAAGAGTTACATTTAGCGAGATCCTTACTTTGTATCAGAGTTACATATAGCGAGATCCTTACTTTGTATAAAAGTTACATATAGCGAGATCCATACTTTGTATCAGAGTTACATACAGTGAGATCCCTACTTTGAATTAGAGAAAGACATAGCAAGATCCTTATTTTGTATTAGATTAAGATATAACGAAATCCCTACGTTGAATAATAGTTATATATAGCAAGATCCTTTATTTGAATCAAAGTTAGATATAACGATATCTTTCACTTATTCTTAGGTTATATATAGAGAGAGGGTTCTTACTCTGTAACAGAGTTCGATATAGCGAGATCCCTTCTTTGTATAAGAGTAAGATATAACAAGATGGATCTTACTCTATATCAGAGTTCGATATAGCGAAACCGTTACTTTGTATTGGAGTTCGATATAACGAGATCTTTGCTTTGTATTAAGGTTAGATATAGCGAGATCCTTACTTTGTTTCAGAGTTAGATATAGCGAGATCCTTATTTTGTATCAGAGTTACATATAGCGAGATCCTTACTTTGTATCAGAGTTTAATATAGCGAGATCCTTACTTTGTATTAGAGTTAGATATAGCGAGATCCTTACTTTGTATCAGAGTAAGATATAGCAAGATCCTTACTTTGTATCAGAGTTAGATATAGCGAGATCCTTACTTTGTATTAGAGTAAGATGTAGTGAGATCCTTACTTTGTATTAGAGTTAGATATAGCGAGATCCTTACTTTGTAT